GCTTGTCTTGATGGTCTATGAGAAACAAAGAGACCCCTTGATGTTCGACTCAAAGTCCATCAAGACAAGCCCGGCAATGAAGGAACATCTGCTGTGGCAGAACATCTTGCTATGGGAAGGAAAACAGGACATAAAGTCAACTTTGACAACACCAACATACTGACAATCAATAAGCACATAGATAAAACCAGGAGACTTCATGAAGCTATATATAGTTTGCCCATCACTTCTTCTCATTATGTGCCTGAGGACGACGGGGGAAACACGTCGAAACGTTGCATAAAACTTTAACCAGTGATTGTTGTTCCATAAAGCTGTGTCTATATATCTCGACTAAACATTGACCATTTCCAGTACATGTACTTTCAATGTGTAACAAATCCGTCAGTAAAAAACAGTCTTCTACACTTTAATTGCATTGAATTGATTTAATCGGTATGTGTCAGTTAGCCTCCCGGGATTCCTATATTATTGCTTCTGGAACGTTTTTCATTTTCTTTTGAAAATCCTATCTTGTATTGAAACTGTCAGATATTTGGAAATCCCCGTAGTGAAGTTCTGAAACCTGACGCAGGTTCAAATCAATATGAATTGAAACCAACAGACACCGATTTCCGTCATTAACTTAAAAATATTGGACTTCAATTTTATGGTATAATTCTTTCTCCTCATTTCGAATTGAAGATATTTTTTATGTCTGTACTGAACTCTAATTATGTCATGAAAGGGTTTTATTGTCGAAACAAGTCTTTAAAGCGAGTCTGTAAGCGTGTAACAAGATTATATTTATGTTTTACAATAAATTGAAATCGTCTGTGAAGAAAAGGCGGGTTTTTCTTTATATGGTTATAACCCATAGAAAATAGCCCGAATTACTGACTAAATAATCAAACCTCGTTAACTAGGATGTCTACATATTGATTCCGGTGCCATTTGTTAAGATACTAAACTACTTTTTAACAACATCTCATGACCAAAGAACTGATATGGAAAAACTTTCTATAGTCCATTTGTTGGTCGCTTATCTGCAGCTCTCGATAGTTGACTGGTAATGCTGGTAATGTTCTTAAATACGACATAACTTAATTTTGTATGAACACGACGTAACTTTTTTATTTAGGGCTTTGCATTAGTGCACTCCAACTGCAATGTTTTTGTCCATTTATGTTCCTACATAAACTGTTAGACACATCACCTACCATTGTTGGCACGTTTGAGTTGAAATTTCTGGTACGACTTGCTGATAAACTTGTACAACATGATTAGTGAACAATTGGGAATTGGCTTGATCGTTCATGTTTTTCGGCCAATTACAATATGTTTTATGGAAATTAAATGATTGGTTACATTTCAAATATATATTTAAAGGGGCATTCTGTTTTTTCGTGGGTCGAATTTGTGAAAACTATACACCAAAATCTAGAGAAATGTGACCTTTAACATATCTAAAAGTTTTAACTAAAAAACTTTTTGAAAAACGTATTGCTTAAAATAAGTCCGTTATGTGTTTTGGAAGGTGTAAAGCTGGGTTTACAAAGGCAATCTTTTTATCTGCAACTTCTTTCAACTCTCAACCTCTAGCAACCTACTTGTGATGTTCACACAGGGCAACCTTCTTCAACCACGTTCATCCACTCTAGTTGAAAGAGGATGAAACAAATTGAAAGATATTTTGGTAAGAAATATCGTCAATTTTGGAGGGAATCACTAAAACAAAAGATTGCAATGAATGAAAAGGCTGGATGTATAGCTGTTATCTCTCATTATCTTGTTGGTGTGTAATTACAAAAAGTTGAACATGGTTGACAGAAGAAAGTTGCCTGTGTAAACCTTACTTTAGAAAACAAATATCTTCTACTTATTCTGAAGGTTTCACTTAATAATATTGAGTCATTATAAAATCAAACACCAAAACTAGGTCAAACTGCTTAATTTACAATTGGTAGGCTACTCTTCCTTTATGAGAAACCCTTTAAAAAGAATTCAGTTTGATAAAGTAGATACATGGATGCAAATATAATAATTTCGTAATACTTTCAATCTACTTTACGACTTTTTTGATAATTGAGCTATTGCATACCTCCCCTTTAAGAAGATTGGAGGCCAGCTTCGTTCAAATTGGAAATACTATAATATTCTCTGGTATATTATTTCTCTATAATCTCTCAATGCACTTATTGAGCACTTAAGGATTTTCAATGCAACGTTTGAAATACGTATTTTCATATGGTAACATACAACCATGTTTGTTTTAGCCGCCTGCCCAATAACGATTTTGATATTTTATATTCAAAAAACAATATGCCTTTTGATAATTTAATGATTAATTAAGTCTGTAACAAAAATGTCTTCTTTGAATAAAACATGGGTGTAACGGAATGAAAGGTTTTAATAGTGTAAACTGTAAAATAAAAACCTGTGAATCGTCTTAAATAAATCAAAAGTTATCTTGTGTTAAATACTGCTCTATTATAAAATTATCTCTGTTACATTCATTAACTGATCTAAAATAAGAAATTATGGCGTATTAAATGATTTATTACCCTGCAGTTTTTAAAAAACTTAATTGATAATAAGCGTTTCAATTGGCAATGAACACTTTTAATATTAGCTTTCGTTGTACACACTTAACATTTATGTTTTATTCTAATGTAATAAAATGATTTGCATGATAAAATGATGTTTTACGATCCATTGTCCTACGTACCTTATTGTTCAAAAACAAATTGTGATGCTGTTCATCGAATAATTCAAGATCTCATCAATATAAATAATCACACCAAATTTAATTTTTGACTTGACTTAGTTTTGACTAAGTCAAGGGCAATAATTCATGGGCGACAACAATATACCACCACATTATAGAAGATATATATTATATAGAAATGTATGCATTTTGTTATTTAAATGAAATAAAATAGATGTTATACACCATGCCGTTCTTCACCTTATTATTTAAGTGAAATAAATGAAAGATTTACATGTAGTAGTAAATCTAGTTTTAGATGACGCGTCCTTCACCTTAACCTTTGCGCAAAGCTCGCTGCCTCGTTTTCAGAGCAACTCACGCTTCACGCTTCCTCCATTTTGCCTAGCAGCTTGTTTGTAAAGTCTCTTGAAAAATCGAGAGGAACATGTCTAATGTCAAAACTCGAGGGAATACAGGAAGTGCAAAAGTCAAAGACGTTTTCGAGACAATCAACAATGAAATGGAGGACGACAATTTTTCTATTGAAGATGGAGAAACTGTGATTGAACACAGTGATCCCGCTACAAGTAAGTCAGTAATGAAGGCCTCGACGTCAAGACCTCAGACGACAATGTCAACGAGTACAGCGTTATTGGGTCAATTCAGCAACATTGTACCACACGTTAACAACTCGTGTCTAAATGGGCCCGTTGCTGAACATAATACCGAAGATCAAAGTGAAGATACAGAATTAATGTCACTTCAACAACAACTATTGAGTATTCGAACAGAACGTCGAAAAGCGCTGATACGTAAGCAAATTGCTGAAGAAAGAACCAGGATTGATGCACTCTACCAACTTCCTCCCGCTACATTGAATCCAACTGCAAATCCAGGGACAACACATGTTCCTGCAGTACAGCAAGGTGAGCAAATTACAGAACCACTATGTCAGAATCCTACTGGAGGTATTCTGGTAAATCTAGACACCACTAAACCCAACAAGGTGCTATAAATCATGAACTTCCTTTGGCTAGACCCAGTTGCTGTCAATACCTATTCCTTTGGCGATGGCCTAGAATTTTGAATTGGCCGGAAAAGGTCACTTGAGAATGTTAGTGTAGAGGAATGGGGATATGCAAACACGCGGATATAGAACTGATGAAGCTTGATTCCGGGTTCCACCCTAATCCCTACCTTAAATATACAGCTGATATATTTCGCCTTGCTGGTAAATATGTTTGGTACTCAGTCCTCCTTTACGATAAAGAGTATCGCGAGCGCCAGGCCATCGAGAAGTTTGAATGGGGTACCTGTTTGCAAGATTTAAGGGAATTTCAGCTCATAATTCAGAAAGATCACGGCTTTAGCCTTGCAAGAACTGAATTTGGCACACAAAAATACAAAACCAGTGGGATACGGCAAACCAAGTTCCAATTCAAATCCGACTAGTGTGCGCAGGAAAGGGCCCTTCACGTCGGAGGGTAGAGAGATCTGTCGTAACTTTAATAATATTATGTGTTATAGAAAAGAATGTAGATTAACACACAATTGTGCTATATGCTTATCTAATCAACATTCAGCGCTTGATGGTCACAGTCCTAATGTAAAGACACAAGTGCCTCAAACGGACTGCTTAGATCAACAGTGCCCTTCAGGAGTTATTCCCCTTTATAACAACTGATTGGATTATCCTGCTTGGGAACGGCTCCTGCCAGCAGATTATGACGAAAGGGAATTTTTACTCTCGGGAATAAAAGACGGTTTTCGCTTAACTACTCAGTTTGGCCCACATTTACCCGTTGATAGAGATAATTACCCCTCTACATTCACTTATCGTGCCAAAGTCGAAAAACAGATACTTTTTGAGCTGTCTGTGGGTAATTATGTGCCCGTGTTAGAAAAACCTACAATAATAAGTTCGCTGGGGGCCATACCGAAACCAAACGGTGATGTGCGTCTCATACACGATGCGAGCCAACCAGTGGGGAATTCATTAAACTCGCTCACCTCAGACACCAACTGCTCATACATGGGCCTAAAGTATGCTCTTAAAATTATAACTCCGAACTGTTTTTTAGCCAAAGTGGACCTCAAAAGTGCATATAGCTCAGTACGATGTCACCCTTCTGAATATTCTTTAACTGGACTGAAATGGATTTTTACCGGAACCAAGGAGCCTGTATATCTGTATGATACCAAATTACCCTTTGGGCATGCGCGAAGCCCAAAGATTTTTCAAAAGCTCAGTGCTGCAGTATGCTTTATTATGAAATTCAGATACAACGTTACTTGTATTGCGTACTTGGATGATTTCCTCGTCATCGAAAACTCCTTGGCATTGTGTGACAGAGGACTAACGTTATTACTCAAAACTTTAAGGGTGTTGGGCTTTAACATTTCTTGGGACAAAAAGCTCAGCTCAACGCCTATCATTTTTAGGCATTACCATCGACACTCGTCAATTGACTTTGTCAATGCCACAGGCGAAACAGTTGGAATTTTTGACAGTGCTATTGAATTTTCAAAATCGTTAACGCGCCAGTTTAAAGCAACTTCAATCACTATGTGGAAAGCTCAACTGGGCATGTCAAATGATTAAAGGTGGTAGGGTGTTCTTAAGACGAGTGATCGATATGACTACTTCCTTAATGGAAAGAAACTGCAAATTACAATTATCTGAAGAATTTCATTTGGATATATCTTGGTGGGTGAATTATATGACACTGTTTAACGGAACTGTGAAATTCGTGGATCGCAATCCCATTACCTCATTGCAAACTGACGCCTCCGGTGCAGGCGGGGGAGGGTACTATCACGGTGACTTCTTTTATGTTGACTGGGCCCTTGATTTACCGATATTTGCAATGGAACATATAAATGTGAAAGAGACTCTTGCTGTCGTCCTGTCAGTGGTAAGATGGGCTCCATTGTAGACAAATAAAACTGTTGTAGTTGCTACAGATAATATGACGACCAAATGCATCCTTAATAAGGGATCATCTAAAAACAAACTTTTAATGATGTGTTTACGTGTTCTATTTTGGCTATGTGCCTTTCATAACTTTGAATTGAGGGCTGTGCACATTTAAGGTAGTGAGAATACTATAGCTGATACTGCATCGCGCTTACATGAACCTTATCAACTGGAGCGCTTATTTGATATTTTGTCTAGCTATAATTTTTATTTTAGTAGTGCTGAGTTACTTAATCACATGTTTTTGTATTCATAGGTGGTGTAACTATCTCCTTCCTGGAACAAACCGTATCCAGACTACGAGGCAAGGGGTGGGCTAAATCTACCATCGGTGCATATAAGACACACTTAAAGTGTTACATGGAATTTTGTAGACGAATTCCGGTAACTCAGCATACTATTGAACTTTATATTGCATTTCTTATTGATGTTAAGATATTTGCTTACAGTTCTATTATTTCTTATTTGAATGTTATATCCGTAATTCACAAGTTGAATGGGTTTAGTGACCCCTTGATAGAGTGGCCGATTAAGTTTTTGCTACATATTTTTGTGTTACTTTGTATTACATTGTTGTACTTTGTAATTAATAATTGAAATGTAGTGCCAATTTCATATTGCTCTTTCATTTGCCTTTGCTTGAAGATCGTCAGGTAAAATAGATCTATACACCATACTGTTCTGCATTTAGTTATTTAAATGAAATAAAATAGATCTCTACACCATACTGTTCTACACCTTATTATTTAAGTGAATGAAACAGATTTATACACCATGCTGTTACGCATCTCATCGTTCGAATGCACTGAAATATATATATATATATATAATTGTGTTTTATAAGTATTCCCAGTTCTACTCTTCTGTCTTCTGGACAAATGATGATACAGTATAGTAGAATATGACAATATATGTTTGTATTTTGCGTTCTACAACTTGTGTCTGTCTTTGTCAATTATTTTACATCCATAGACCATCTACTGGTGACAGTTCTGTGCAAACATAATACAGCATGAGACTATTCACAAAATAAAAGCGGAAGTTTGCCAAAATATTGTTCTATAGTTGGTAGAAATGATTCAAATCGAAATCAGTCAAATTCAACAGAAACAGAATACAGTCAAGTAACCTAATTTCGTGCTAACCTATTTTTAGTGCTTTTCCGGAAATGATTCATAATTTACACGTGCGACCTACGCATTTGCTTGTTTTGATAAACATGGGTTATCTCTACAATATCAGTTAGTAGAATGAACCCAGTAGTTTCAAGCAAGGTAAAATGTATTAACGTATACTTTGACAAATACAAAATGGCGGATTTCAGTTATTACCAAACGTCACCATTTTTTATCGGCCGATTTTCCTTATGATCCCAAGCGGTAATCGGAATTCCAAGTGTCGTCTGCTAGAATGTATTTTAACGAATGAAGTCACGTGATCAACTAGCGGATTCCGTGTCAGCAGAAAATTTCTATGGAACACAAAGTGGGCCATATTCCTATGTTGTTTCAGTGACTTTAGCAATAAATCACGCTACGTATCTTATTTTGTCAGTCACTATTTTTTTTAAAATCGTGGTTCTTTGAAGGAATTGTCACTAGTTATAATGAATTGATATTAAAGTTAAATACTAAGAGAAGTTAATTTTCGACTTATTTATAGATTAGACATTGTACACGAAAATAGGTGACGCATTTTGCCGCCGCTGCCGATTGGATGCTCATGAAATATGAGTCAAAGTGAAGGATTCATAAAGAAAATCGAAACAAACCAATTTTAATTATTTTGTAGAATATCTGAGGAAACATCTAAGACATAAAATTTTTTTTTCGTTTTTTTTAACTTTGACGAAATTCGGTGTTGAATCCTTATATCCACGAAAATAGGTTACACCACTGTACTCCAATCTTTTCAAACTGTATTTTCATCTCAAGAATGTGGTTAAGGTAAATATGGTTTATTACGTAAAATACATCCTTTATGTTGAAACCATTATATTTCTCCACGCTATTTACGTCAATTTCCTTTTTAATTTGTATGAAAATAGAGACTTTATTTTTTATTTTTTACAAAATTCTATAAAATATGAATAAATAGAAACGAGTAAACACATTTAAATTTCTGTCAAAGTTTAAATTTTCTTCGGGCTGTTATTTCTGATTTGAAAGACCTTTTTTATGTATTTCGTAATGCTATTGATAGAATATGGTGTTACAAAAGTATATCTTTAAAATATTTTGAAGGTATTTTGAAAGGCTTTCAATGTGGGTGCAGAACATTAATGTTCAGATTTCTTTAACATTTTTCTGCAAACCGCGGACCAAAATTCTCCTGTCATCTTCAAGCATTTTATATAAATTATTTCATTTCTTAAAGTCGTGGTTTGTTTCTTTTACTTAAAAAATAATTTCTTTGACTATTTACAGCCGATTACAACATTATTATTCACATAGGAAATGCTGTCTTGATTATGGTGACAACATAACACTTAGGAAGCTTCAAAGTAAAGTAAAAGGAATTGTGTAATTGTATATGCAAAGGATACAGAAACGCTACCATTTTGCCTCTAAGTTCGAAAAGTATATACACGGGGTTTTTTTTATTCCCGTCCACGTTCACTCTCTCATAAAATTGGCATTTCGTTCACTAAAAATCATCTTTATAAAATATAACTTAATTGGCAGGGCAAGACATTGCACTACTCTTCTTTTCGAGTCTACTTCATATAACATTACACGATGAAATCGTATCTGAGAGTTTAAGTAATTATAGTAAGTATGGTAAATAGTAAAATCAATTTACTACAGGGATTGATACTGCTTCCACAAATAATATGTGATTTGTTTTGTTTCTTTCAGTTTATAATGACTAAAGAAGAGCAGGTCGAATTATTAGCGAAGGCTCGTGGAGAATGTGAAGATAAAATGTATAAATATTACAACAAAACATTATATGGTAAGTATACTAAATTTCAATAATTATACTCAACTTTATATGGTAAGTTGTACAGTTTCTGTGAGCAGACGAATTTGCCTTCATCCGGGTTATAAGAAAGTCTAACATTAACTCTCGAATTTGTTATAAAAAATGTGCAATTTTATCGCGTCCAGGTTTAGACCGATGATTACAAACAGTTCTTTAAGAACATATGATTCGAATTGTGTTTATTCAAAACTCAATATAAAGGCTAAGAACTATCGGTATTAATCTTGGGATAAAATTTAGCTGCGACTTGCGACGTTCTATACTCAAGAAAGATACATCGACTTGTGTTCTGCATGAAATTCTCTTTCAGACTCTTAGGCGAAAGTAGGTCAAGCTAATCAGCAAGCTTAACAAGAACCTGAGTAATTAAATATCAGTTATTTTGGTAAAACACAGATTGGAGGCAACATGAATTTGAAGTTAAATCATTATTTTAAGATGATGAAAACATAATTAAATTCAATGTGCATTAAACATTAATTTTGCAGTGAACTCATTTTAGACTAGGTACCAAATAGTACATTGGTATCCTTTAAACTGATTTAATTAGTCCAGATTGTACAGATGTTATGGATGAATATATCCAACTAAAGTACCTTTGTGACTCGGCAAGTTAGCTCATGCTGCCGCCAGAGGCGGATTAACCTATAGGCAAACTAGGCAGCTGCCTTTCGGCCTCTGGAAAATTCAGTCCGTGACAAATTTTGTAACAGTAAAAATTATCAAACAGTTAATAAATTTCAGCAGGCCAATCGAAAATTCCGTCCAGCCGATGAGAAATTTCTTCACATTAAAAAGACTAATCTTTCTTATTTACATTATTATAAAGGTCTGGCAACCTTAGCACCTACAGGAATGAACAGTTCTTATATTTAAATCTGTCTACTTTTACTCTTTCATCCATTTCTTTGCCCTTCTGTGCCATTCTTTGTTGTTTCTGCGACCTGTATAATTTTTTAGTTAATTATCTCCTTTGAAAAAAAATATTTATTTGCTCATCTAACCTAGCTGAATGTGTCATTTAATAATAATAATAATGATAATAATTTCTTTATTGGGTAATCAATTAAGACTTTGCCTTTCTAACATTGAGCCCGTATAAAGTACATAACTGCAAATAATACAAGTATAACGATAACAAAAACTTATGTACGGTTTGTAATAAGCCTATAATTAATGTAGAAAGAGAAGGGGGTGGGAAAACAAAGAGTAATATAGATGTTGGATACATAATTAAAAATACAAATGATAATGCTCATTTCAAATCTTACTAAAATGGAGTTTGGACAATTTCTTAAAGGAATAAACTGATTTGGCCTCTCTTATTTTAACTGGTAGATTATTCCACAATTTTACACCTTTATATTTTAAACTGTGTTTATAAAGATCTATTCTAGGTTTTGTAAATATCAGCTTTTTATTAATAGACGAGTAAGAAGTTTTGTAGGGTAAAAACATATTAGAAAGGTATCTTGGACATAAATTATTATGTATTCAATATGTAAATACAGCAGAATTAACCTTATGTCGAATAGCATAATGAATGATATTCATGGAACTAAGATGGTCTTTGTAATTGTTGAAGTTATAAGTATTCTGAATAAATTCATGTGCACGCTTTTGTTGACGTCTTTGATTTCAAATTGGAACTGTCCCAAATTGGTAAACAATAATCTAAATAAGGTTGAATATGTCCTTTGAAATATGAGGAGCGAAGATTTTCTGGAAGACATTTTTAAATAGTTGAAATAATTTTGTATTCAAAATTTTAGAAATATTTTTGACATGGAATTTCCAGTTCATATCCTGATTTACAACAACACCAAGCCGTTTGAAACTACAGACATTTTCTATTGTATTATTATTTGTATTTTTATTACCCATAATACTTACTTATGGGTAAGTACTTACTGTCTTACTTACAATAATTAGGCCCTTTATTATCCCTCATACATTCTATGGACAATTCTAATGTTTCAACAAAGTGAGGTTGCAACAGTTCTTCGCTACTGGATAATCTAGTGTAGTCCGTGTTTTGTTTTTATAGTCCGTGTCGTGTTTCAACCTCCCTTTTGGGTTTTTGCATGCCTTTTTTGATAAAGTTTTGGTCTAGATCTTAAATTGCATTTTTTTTCAGATAATGAGAGTTTTTCATGCGGAAGGATAATTGTAAAATAGTCGTTTTGTGTCAAGCGGATGTTGATAAAATGTTGTAGTCTACTTTTAGTTTGACTCAAGCTTTTCATGGCCATGATTTATTGGATTTTTGTCCAGAAACTAAGTATGTGACATATTAGAAAGTTTTCAACAGGATTTGTGGAAAAAGTTATAGAAGATTGAATTTCGTGATTTAACATGGAAAAAGATAGCAAATGGGTTAGTGCTCTGAGTCCTTACACCTTGTTTCTCTGCTAATAAAGTTGAATTTCAGTTTCTCGTATTTGTTTTCACGTCACTCGAGCCCTTACGTTAAATTGAATAAAAGAAAACTAGATGTCGCATTTGCATTCTAAAAAGTACTTCGAGCAGCTGAATTCTATCAGCTGTTGAAACATATATTACTTAGACTATATCTCTTTCAGAATTCAATTTAGCGTGAAGTTTATAAGTAATTGGTCGAAGTCTGATACCTATTTAAGTAAAGACTGGAATTAGTTTCTCTACCGGCCTAGGGCCAAATCTTTAAAGCGGGAGGTGGTGGAATGTAGTATCGATAATCGGTCTAATTGAATTAAATATTTCAGCAAAGACTGTCCACGTATGATCTAAATCATAAATATTGCGAATTCGTAGCCGATATTTCGTTTGGTTGAACCGGCTTTCGTACCCACCCTTAATATGAAATTTACAGTATTTTTTGGATTATTGCACAAAATGATAAGAACGAAAGATATTTGCTGTTCATAAGGCATAGTTCATTGTTAACTACTTCGAATAATCACCTGATGCCACTATGCAATTCTAGTTTGAACGGCGCTGTATTTGGTTCAAAATAGGATCCAGATCTGATTGTATAAATTCTTAAAATCGCGTGGTCATTTCTTAGGTAGAAATGACTAATCTTATAAAATTAAAGTATTTTTACGTGTTTTATCTCCTATCTTATTTACTTTTTTCAATTTGAGTCTTCTAGAACCTAATTTTAACCGTAGACTTTGTAGAACGCAGAACGCGAATTTAACCTTTGGAATTTCACTACTGGATCTTGTTCGCTGAATCGTAATCTTTCGACTTTCTTCACTGGATCGTGTTCGCTGAATCGTAATCTCTGGAACTTCTCCACTGGATCGTATTCGCTGAATCATAATCTTTCGACTTTCTTCATTGGATCGTGTTATCTGAATCGTAACCTTGAATATTACGGAAATTAAATTAGATCACGTGACATTTTCTGCATATCATTATTATTCGTCATTCATTTCATAAATTGTAATTCTAAACAGTATCTAAAATTTGAATAGAACAAAATTCACAGGAAATACACGGAGTTATCCTTTTTGGGGGAAATTTAAGTTTTTGGGGGTAAGATTTTAGTTTTTTGGATAATTTATTTCCGGTGGGTTCGTTTTGCCGCATTGCCCAGCATGCCGCATCGTGCCCAACTGCACAAAAAACGACTTGTTAAACGAAACTAAAAGTTTCTAATAAAATCAGAAATGGCTATTTGTTTCACATGACACGAAATATTTTAATCTGTTTTATTTATAATTTGGACCTGTTAGGGAAATCGAAACTATAATCTTATGGTAAATCTGAAATAAAGTAAATATCAAGTACAAACGATCAGAACTGTAATACAAAATACATAAATCCATAAAACGAAACAAGACAAGTTCAATAAATAAAATATTGGTCATAACGTGCAAGAGTTATGTCCCTCTACTGCTAGCCTGTAACGTCACCCACGTGCTAGAAAAAATGGTAACTGAAATGTCTGAAAGTAAAAATCTTCTGAATAGTAAATCAGAATTATCAAGCGAGGAGAAGTTTGAAATTCTCGTATTCGATGTGCTCTATAATTCGGCAGTGGCTCAACCCCCACTGGTTCCAGATTGTGATACTGATCAAGATATATTAATTGAGATTAATCAAGATTGTCCTGGTGGACAAGGTAGAAGCTGGGGTTGATTGGCTCAACACTTCTGTCGGCAGTTGGAGACATAAATAGACGAACCTGCGATTGTTTAGAAAAAATGTTCAGATGGATCCACAAGAAAATAAGTATTGCGGAATCTAAAACCGTGACCGGTGAGGGTTATATTTTGAAAACTCGGTATTGTCACCATAATAACGAAAAGTATGCCTCTGTAAAAAGGCACAGTATGAAAGTCTTGAAACTATAGTTTCGATTTCCCTAACAGGTCCAAATTATAAATAAAAAGAAAATCGATGCGGGACAACAGATTAAAATATTTCGTTTCATGTGAAACAAATGGCCATTCCGAATTTTATAAGCAAACTTTAGTTTCGTTTTACAAGTCGTTTTTGTGCAGTTGGGCACGATGCGGCAATTGGGCAATGCGGCAAAACGAACCCACCGATTTATTTCTCATTAAAAACACGAATGATAATGCTATGCAGAAAATGTCACGTGATCTAATTTAATTTCCGTAATATTCAAGGTTACTATTCAGATAATACGATCCAATGAAGAAAGTCGAAAGATCACGATTCAGCGAATACGATCCAGTGGAGAAGTTCTAAAGATCACGATTCAGCAAACACGATCCAGTGAAGAAAGTTGAAAGATTACGATTCAGCGAACAAGATCCAGTAGTGAAGTTCTGCGTTCTACAAAGTCTACGGTTAAAATTAGGTTCTAGAAGACTCAAATTGAAAAAAGTAAATAAGATAGGAGATAAAACACGTAAAAATACTTTAATTTTATAAGATTAGTCATTTCTGCCTAAGAAATGACCACGCGATTTTAAGAATTTATACAATCAGATCTGGATCCTATTTTGAACCAAATACAGCGCCATAGGTTTGATCCATGTATAAAATGTTTACTGTCACGAAGTCATTATGGCTTATATTGATTTCTTTGAATGTGAATGAAGTTAAATGGATCAACAATATAAATTAAATGAACGTAGTTGAAACCGTATCTATGTCGTAACAACCTAGATGTACAAATATAGATAGTGATAATTGTCACAATTACATCGTCAAAAACGGAAACGTCAAGCTTAATCATTCCATCTTAACTCAAAATAAATAATATAGTTACATGGAAATAAACGATCTGTAAGTCAGAAACGATGACAGTCATGTAATATGGGGAATTGTATTGCAATTCCAGCGCCGAAGGTCGGTTTTCAGATCAAGATATAGGTGGTTTGGTGCCAGAAAGGGCGTTTCAAACTCTCTGTGGCCGACCTTATTTTGAAATTGAACTGGATTGGAATGAACCTTCCAAATAACTTAGTTATGTTATCGTTATACTCTTCACAGATAACGGATTGATTAAAGACAAGGTGAATGTTACCTACCAGATAAAGTCCTTTTAAAAGGTAAGTATCCCAATGGTGATTTATATCCGAGTCACACGGAGATAGCCAGTGACGGATTTTATACTTGTTGGGCCGTAGGTAGACGAACGGTAGAGGGCCCAATTTCTCATTTTAGGGAGTTTTAATCTAGCGAATATGAATATCAAACAAGACAAAATAAATCACACGATAACGTGCAAACGGTAGACTGGTAGGTAAAAAGTCGATACAATAAGAGTAAAGGTAGCTACGTTTGGGTATCAATGCCTTTATCAAGCGAAACAAAACAAAAATAGCTGAGAAAGGTTCTATCTCTACGAAGAAGAGCACTAATCTGACAAGAAATCAGAATCTGGCAACACTAAAGGAAAGGGAAATTTGATTAGTTTTAAAGAACTTTTACCAAGACAGTCTGCTCTTGAATCCTCAAATATCAGGTCACTCAATTCAGCATTTCAACAAATTTGTGTATCAAGGGAATGTATATTTGTTAAATCTGCCCATGTTTTCATGATTAGAAATTAGATAAAACAACATCTTTTTTAAGACCAAACACAATATCTCAACCTGAAAGGGTCTGGTTTGTAGCATAAAGTCATCACTGAATCTCTACAACTCGTCTACATCACAATACAGATACAAACCTCAATTCAGAATAAAAAACTTCAAATTACAGATAAAGCCAGTATCAGTGGTTCTGAATTATTTATCTCTGAACTAATTATTAATTCATTTTAATCACGATTAAGATTAACGTATGCTATATTCATTTGAATTTATAGTTATAACCTACCACATTCGTCGATGTGTTAAAATGTTATACTGCTATGAAACCCAGCACATGTATTACAATATTACATCTAACTAGTATTTCTAATATCGAAGTGCGTGTATTCAATTGTCCAATCATTTATAGCATAGTTTGATAAATTTGTCACAATTTGGCAATTTCTCAAGTTTATTCTCGTCTATTTGTAATGCTTTATTTCTCCACATAACCATTTTGACCCTTTATTGATTGTAAGTTTTATACAAACAAAATCAAAAGTGAAATTAGAAAATCTAAACAGAGTTATTATAAATCTTTAAAACCAAATATTCAACAACTTGTATTCCTTTACAATCTGATACCATTAATAAGCATTTCTTTAACATTGCTGCCCAACCTATTCAAAATTGTTATGGTGAAAACGTTTCAGAAGACCTGTCTACTTCTAATTGTTAAATTATAACTGATTTTGTATCAAAAAATTTAACTGCGCCTTTCTTTTATAATATCCCTTACATAAGAGTAAATGAAGTTTTTAAATACTTGAATTCTTTACAAGAAAACTAAAGTTCAGGTTTAGATAATATAAACCCTTCTTTAATTAAAAAGGGGGTAGTTATTTTATCTCCAACATTAACTTATATTTATAATTTATCCATTAATCAACATATCTTTCCTGATTTCTTAAAAATAGTAAAAGTTTTACCATTGCACAAATCTGGCTCAAACATTGATCTAAATAATTATCGTCCAATTTCACTATTACCGGTTTTGTCAAAATCACTCGAGAAACATATTTCAAAATCTCTGAATAGTTTTCTTTCAGATAATAACTTTTATATTCAAATCAGACTGGTTTCAGAACTCATTATTCATGTTTAACTTCATTAACGAAATTCACAAGAATTGTTTAGGGCGCCATTGATAACAAAGATCTTCGTGGAGCAGTATATTTTGACTTTCAGGAAGCTTTTGACTTAGTCATTCATAAAATATTACTTCAAAAATTTAAACTGTATCATATTTCAGATCCATCTGTTTCTATGTTTATTATTTACAGCACTGAAAACAAAGACCCTTTATTAATGTTAAATGTCAAACTTGCATTTTATTTCAAATAGTGTTCCCCAAGGCGCTATCTTAAGACAATTGTTTTTTAATATTTTTATAAATGACCTTCCGTTACATTTAAAATCAAACTTTGATCTTTCCGCAGATGATACCACTGTATATTCTACCAGTAATAGTTTGGTTATTGTTCAGTCTCAGCTGCAAGAAGATGCTGATTCTATTATGAAGTGGTCTACATCTAATTTGATGAAAGTAAATGTTTCTAAAACAAAATGTATTTTTATAACCACTTATCAAAATAGCCAGCTACTCCCTGTCTCTAATAAATTTAATGGTAACACAAAACATACATTCTACCATAAACGAGATTTTACATTTAAAATAAGAATGATGCATTGAGCTATGTTTGTTTAGAATTGTTGGCTAGAACTACTATGGGAATTTCGAATGGCACTAAATATGTTGTAAGTACTGTCTGTCCATGCGGAATCACTACCAATCCTTTTAAGCTTTGGGCGCTTATGTATAAACAAATTTATTAAAAGGTACCATGGGTGGAACAAACTAATCGAGCTGCTGTACAAGTATTTAATATGAAGACAGATATCACAAGATTAAACCTAAACTACCTTCTGTTCTACACCTTATTTCGCTAATAAATTATATTTTACGCCCCATTGCTCTTCATCTTATTTAGGCTAATTGGATTAGTTTTCATTTTACTAATGAAGACCACAACTCCACGCCGAGGTCCTGCATTATTCTATTCTTGACATTAACAACTAGACTTTTTTTTCTATTTGGCCCATCCAGCTTCTAACATGATGAGCATGTGTTGTTTGGGTTCGGGTTTCGTTTTGCAGCTCGGATCGTTAGTACTTGGTTTCTATATATTGGACGTCGATCTTTTCAAATCCATAAAGCACACATATGTGAAAACTCCAAAATAGAGAAGCAGAACATATATATAAGGCGATAACGAAAGTTACATCGGCTGTTTCAGAAGTACGAGATAATACAAAACATTGTTGTTTATTTCAGAACCACCAAGCGAGGAGCCGAAATGTGGAATGGTTTGGGACAATGTGTTATGTTGGGATGAATCTCCAGCAGGCGAACTGGTTAAACAGAGATGTCCGAATTATATTCATGGATTCAATTCTAGGGGTAAGATTTTAACACGTTACCTCTTCTGGTTGATGAATCCCATGACACTGTTGCCAATTTTTACAATGAAGCCTGTTCAAAGACTATCTGAAAGAAAAATATCTTTCTCTACAAACTGCTTGGTTTGACAAGTGAATCGTAAAAAGTCATTATCATGTATTTCTTTTTAACAGAGTATGCATCTAAACAATGTGGGGAAGACGGCGAGTGGTCATATAGTCCTATATTTAATACTACATGGACAAACTTTAGCTCATGTGATAAACATTCGACAGATCTATCGGTGAGTTACTTTCTTTTGTAAACCTTGTTGGAAATGTCTCTCTATAGTATTGACTACACACGCTTTAAGAAACAAACTACACTTACCACACTACCCACAACCATCACATCATATCTGACCACCCCATTTACTTCAAACCAGTATCCAAGTGTCTTCTAACAATGCTGGTATACCTCGAAAGCCTCGACCCAACAACGTTGGGATAAGATTTAACAAAATAAATGAGTGCAAATTCAACGAAAAAGACTGGTGGAAGATAGTCAAATCTGTTGCATTCAAACATAAATCCACCCCGAAAGACTTTCCCTCTTTACTTACAAAAAACGGCATTATCGATGACGACCGTGAAAAGGCTGAAGCACTCAACCAGCACTTCATAAGTCAATCCAAACTACCCAACCCAAATTTAAGCCCACCTGCACTAACACCAAGTCTTATCGAAATCGAAGAACCTATCTTCACTCCAAGTGATGTTTATGATATCTTGATCTCCCTTGATACAAGCAAGGCCTGTGGTAGTGACCATATAAATAATACCATTCTAAAACTGTGCTGTAAATTTCTGTACTCTCCATTGTCTTACCTATTCAATTTTCTCCAAAACTCTCAGTGTTTTTCACTCATTTGGAAACGGGCCGACGTTACCCCAATTTACAAGAAGGGCGACCAACATTCCTGCTCCAATTATAGACCAATATCCTTGTTGAGCTGTCTTGGAAAAGTCTTTGAAAAATGCATGCACAAATACCTCAACAACTTCCTTGTCTCAAATAACAAAATTGTTATTTACACTTACCAACTTGTTGATATCTGTCATCAAATATGTGGCGAGCTTGATAAATGACTCGAAACTAAGGCCATCTTCTTCGATATAAGTAAGGCATTCGATCGTGTCTGGCATGAAGGGCTTCTATGTAAACTCCAGGCCATTGGGATTACCGGGAATCTTCTACTTCTCATAAAAGACTACCTCTCGGATCGCAGACAATTAGTTCAAATAAAAGGTCAATCATCAACTGAAATCATCGTACCCAACGGAGTGCCTCAGGGTTCAATTCTGGGTCCACTCCTTTTCCTCGTATATATAAATGACATAGCAGAAGATATAAAATCACACCTTAAATTGTTCGCTGATGACACCTCAATGTACATGGTAATTCATGACCCCCTATCTTGTCAAAGAGCCTTAGATCTCGATTTGCTAAAGATCGATCACTGGGCCAAAAGATGGAACGTCGTTTTTTGTCCAGAAAAAACTAAAAGCATTACCTTCAGCAAAAAGACTAATGCATCAAATTTCTCCCTCTTTTTCAATAGCACCTCAATCTTTGTTTCTGACGAGCATAAGCATTTAGGTATAATTTTCAGTGCAGATGGCAAGTGGAACAAACATATCGATCACATCATTTCTAAAACAAAAAAATCCATCGACTGCTTACGATCACTGAAATATCGCCTTTCTCGAAAAATCCTTAGAAAAGCTATATAAGTCATTTATCCTACCACTCTTTGACTTTAATGATGTCGTTTGGGACAATTGCTCACTTCGGGATGCTGAACGCCTCGAAAATCTTCAACTTGACGCATTGCGAACCATCTCAGGCCTGACACGAGGTACATCTCACAAGATACTATATAAAGAAACTGGCTTTTTACCATTGAAAACCAGGCGCTATCGGCACAAGCTCACTCTCTTCTACAAGATGATACACCACCTTGCACCACCTTATCTGAATATATTAGTGCCCCGCCACACTGGCGACATTCATACCTACAACACCCGCAACCAGGATCAACTAAGATCAACATTCTGCCAGAGTACCCTTTTCCAGGAATCCTTTCTTCCATCAGCAATTCGTGATTGGAATATTCTCCCTGAGTACATGAAAACGGCTACATCCATTCAATCATTTAAACAACAGTTAAAAGCTAAAGATACTCAGATTCCTAGCTACATCTACCTTGGAGACAGAGCATTAGAAATAATTCATTGTAGAATCAGAAACAGTATGAGTGAACTCCATTGCCACATGTTTGCTCGACACCTCACTGAAGATCCATCATGTCCATGTGGCCACTCCTTTGAAAATGCTGATCACTTCCTTCTTTACTGTCCACGTTACCATACTCAACGTTCCAAGACGCTTCATACTCTTCCTATGCATTTTCTAGACACCAAGTTACTCCTACGGGGACCTTAGTCTTAAAGAGAACACCACTATCATTAGCATTGTCCATGAATATATTAGACTAACGCATCGTTTTTAACCACACCTGCTTCATTGCGTCTTTGGGTCTTTATTATATTCATTATAACCAGATCTATCCGAGTTAACAGTTGTTGAATGCTGTTCTGATCCATTGTTCGTTTTACTTAGGATCACCTGATCTATTTTTTCTTGCTATTGAGACATATCTGATGTATTGATCGTTTTATTCAGGTTTATGACTTGATGTATTGTTCGTTTAATTCAGGATAACCTGATCTACGGTTCGTTCTATTCAGGATTACTTAATCTACTGTTCGTTTTATCCGGGATTACCTGACCTGTTGTTCGCTCTACTGAGCTTACCTGATGTATTGTTGGTTGTTCTGATGCTTACTTGGTCTATTGTTCGTTGCATTGAGGCTTACCTGATTTATAGTTAGACCGTTTGAGGCCTACCTGATCTACTGTTTATCTTATTTCCTATCTCCCGCCCTCTATTGTTCGTTCTATTGAGACTTATCTGATCTATTGAAACTTATCTGATCTATTGAGACTGAACTGCTCTATTGTTAGTCTTTCTGAGGCTTGACTGCTTTATTGCTCGTTCTATTGATGTTATGTCGAGGCTTATTTGATGCATTGTTCGTTAAATTGAGGCTTATTTGATGCATTGTTCGTTAAATTGAGGCTTAGTTGATGCATTGTTCGTTAAATTGAGGCTTAGTTGATGCATTGTTCGTTAAATTGAGGCTTAGTTGATGCATTGTTCGTTAAATTGAGGCTTAGTTGATGCATTGTTCGTTATATTGAGGCTTAGTTGATGCATTGTTTGTTCCATTGAGTCTTACCTGGTCCACGGTCCGTCCAACTTACCTAGTCTCTATTGTTCATTCTATTGAGGCTTACCTGATCCAATGTTCGTCCTAAAGAGACTTACCTGTTCTCTTTCGCTCGTTGTATTAAGGCTTACTTGGTCTATTTGTTTGCCCATGTGGTAAACCGGGTCTACTACTAGTTGTATCGAGGCTTACCTGGTCCATTGATCGCTCTATTGATACTTACCTGATCTTTTGTTCGTATTATTGAGACTCACGAGATCTACTGTTAGCCCTTGAGGCTATCCGGATCTATTGCTCGTTCCATTGAGTCCTACCTGATCTAAGGTCGATTCTATTGAGGCTAACTTGATTCATTGTTCGTCCTTTTGATGGTCTGTTAAAAATCCCGATTTGTCTGATCCATTACTCGTACTATTGAGTCATACCTGATATATGGTTCGCTCTACTGGGGTAAACCCGATCTCTATATATCTATGGTTCGTTCGATTGAGGCTTACCTGATTTATTGCTCGTTCTATTGATACTTACCTAATTTGTGCTAGCTCTACTGAAGCTTACCTATGGTTCGTTCTATTGAGTCCTACCACTTACTCATGCCAAACTATTGATCTATCACTTACCTCCACCTGTTTATCTTTGTAAGACATTCCAGTTCTCTATATTAGCCTCGATCGACCGGGGTCGCTGTGGGGCCATGCCGATTACCGAAACCTCGATGAGCAAAACCTCCAACAAACATATTTTATTTCATCCATACAATTAAATTTACTGAACCATATCTGCTGTCTTGATACAGTTGAGAGAACCTCATTTAGTGTAAATAGTTTGTAAATTTTTCCCTAATTTGTATTGTATCGTACTGTAACTATTTTTGAATGGTAATGGATTTATATAAGCTTAAAGCTTGTTTCTAAAACCATATGTTTATCTATATGTATATTGTAATATTTGTAATTCTTGAATAAATATTGTTTAAAAAAAAAAAAGTCTCCGAACATAGCAAGGGTCTGGGAAATGCGTGTCTGTCTTTTTATGGAAACAATCTCAATGCAAGTATCGTTATGATGCGAAATAGCTCGCCGACTCTCGACGTTTTGAAGATGGTATCGCGAACTATTGAGAACGCTTTCAAAAGCTTTTCACAACTTTTCTTCAAACCTGCATAGTCCAGACAAAAAAATATACCCCATGATCATTGTATGAAAATATCTGCTGACTTGGAGATTGTTACAATAATTCGTCACATGCGATGTTACAAATTATAATTACAATACATGTATTACCATCCATCTTTCCGAGTCAAGGCTTCTCAATAATTTGTCGGATCAAAGATTTGTTTACACTATTCAACTTCATTCAACTGGAGATGTCCTCAAAATAACCCATGTTTTATTATGTCTATGAATGGTCGAACTAAATACGTCTCATTCCATGATTTGATTTATCTGAATGCATCCTGACATTTAACTTATCTAGAGGCTTAATTCTCAACTTTATCAAATAGTTTTCTATATAAATATTTACACCATGTTAATGGGAAGCCTAGAGTCGCTCTGGTTTTTCAATACTGGAGTTTTATGGTTTTTATTCTACCAGACGTGGCCTTCAGATATTTTTCTTCTTCCACAAATTAATACTGTAGCTTTGTACAAATAACTTTAAAATACTGAAAGAAGTGCCATATAAATAGCCATTTATGGAGATGCACGCCTAATTGCAGTTTTTTTATGGTCATTGACCTTCTTTACAACTTATCGAAAGCAAACACCAGCAGTAGAATTACAGATTTATCAGTGCTCGAAAAATTACTTTACGTTCATGTATTTGAAATCTAGCCTATAGTAACCTTAAAAACCTGATAATAAAAGAGAATTTAGATCAACTTTCTAAAAATTGAATACAAGCAATTCAGAGAATATTGGGTAGTTGCGACACTTCTATGACCTTTAATAAATAATTGTTGAGAATATGCTATAAACTCGGCAAAGGTTTAAGGATATTTATAGGAAACAAAAAAGGTATATTTTTTATCATTTAATAAGTTAGTAATTTGTGTGAAGATTTTGGCGTATTGTTTGATATGTATTGATAATGTATGATTAAGTTGTACGACAGGATGTATTTTTCCTAACACTTCATTGACAAACATCCGTCATAAATAACTATTAGAGGTCAAATAAAAATCATGAAGAAAATCCAGTTATGAAAGGAGAACAAAATAGTGTCTTAACCGTGTGATCATTTTAATAAATGATTATCTTATTCCTAGGGGCTTAGAATCTATTTTCTATTCAAATATCAAACTACTCTAACACCTGATGAACTTGTTCACTAAAGGTTGAAGGTTGTTTTCCTGAAAGCCTTGTTCTTGGTCAAGAAAAAGCTTACAAAGTTCTTCAAAGTTAAAAATCGCTACATCAAATGGCTGTAAAACCGGAAGTTTACGTAGCACAAGAAAAAGGAAGACATTTTTTGGATAGATCTCGTCTAAAACAACAACTTCTGTGCTGGTCACAAGGTCACCAAAGAACAAGGTCGTGAGATATGAGCTTTAATATTTTTGGACAATATTGAAAAAAATCAACCGGAAATCACTCGAAAGCAAAATCGAAATTCAAAAATTGGCCCACACGATTGTTAGGAATTGTTCACTGATTACATATATATTAAAATAATGCAAATCTGATTAAACCCTGATCCCCAAAAGTGGTTTTATAGACAATTTAGTCAGTTCAAGATGGCGGCTGATCTAATCCTTCCGGGACGAAATTTATCATTTCAAATCTTTTACATAAACAATTCTAGCATGAAGAAAGAATTTTTCAAATACTCTATGATATCCGATATCTGAGTATATCTGTAATCCGACATCATTTTTCAGGACTCGATTAATTTCCTTCTAAGGCTAGTCTAAAAAACTCTGAGTACTCCGACACTCTGTATATTCCGAATTACGACACTAATCAGTGGTCCCGACACTCAGAAAAATCTGTATAATCCAACATCTACTCATCTTAATCACTTATTGTCAATTAGATAATCGCTTGTTTTTTTTATTGATAATCCCGATAATCCCGATCAAATCACATGAAAACAAAAGGTCATTGCCTTTAGACCAAATGGCATGGGTACTCGTATAATTACACCGGATATAACAGAAATATGCAACTTGACCATTCTGTGTTACGCGTTTTTTTTTTTAAATTCTCAAGCCAACTGTGGAGCGCGCCCGTACTGATGTGTCTAATTTAATTAGACCCCGGATCTCAGACTGAATTCTTGCCTTTTGGATTTTTTGTAAAAGTCTCACATCTAAGGATTACTACTATTTATGACAACAATACGTCTTTTTTCATGTACACACTGACACACTGATGTCTAAATAGCGAGAAAACCAGAATAACTGCTTAATATCCGCTCGACGAACTGGACTCTTACAATTTCAAACGAGATATCCGGAAAAGGGAAGTCTGGGAATCTGTTGACAATAAAACGAGTATTGTTATTGGCCATTGTCCAGAATAAACGGTCAATTATTGCATCAGGGGGCGAGAGAGGTGTAATTTTACGCCTGTTGTCTGTCAATTTTCCCGCCACTTTATCAGTGGTGTCGATTTTATTGCGATAATTGCCTGTTATGAAAAAGTAGCGTCAATTTACAAATACTAATCGAAAGGTCGAAATAAAAGAGTAAAACGTTAATCTGAAATTAGATTGAAGAGGTTGAATCAGGTAGTAGGCTTATTGACAACGACAGAAGCAGACCGACGTAGGAAGAGCAATACCTGATAGCTTAGGAAACACATACAATTTTTGACACCTTTCCAAAGTTTTGTCTCATGCAAGGAGAATATCATCACAACAAATTGGAATTTTTTCATGACATTAAAAGAATTACTGTTCAGAAGATGTTTACGATGTTATGTATCTATCTGGTAATATCATTTTCGTGGACCGGTCAACATGTTTAATAGAGTATGAACTTGGAAAGATATAATACAGCTTGGTATTGCCTAATAAGTGTGGGAAGGGATGACACAACATTCCGACTGTACTTCATTTCTTCCGTACATTACTCTGTCTTGGAGTTACCAGGAATAGATAATTACTGCTGCTTTGATTTGAGTTTTGTTTGATGAATATTAGCTGTCTCAGACATGATGTTCCCAGGGGGGATAATCAGAGAAGACAGAGGGTCGATATTAAAATAATTGGAAATAAAAACCCATTAAACTGGCTTTTTTCTGTCGCCTGTTTAGATATTATATCTTAGATCTTGTTTCAGAAAATAAAAAGATAAATTAAAGCCCCGAGGCTTTGTAAATTATCATTTATTTAAAGTTTCATGGAAGAAAATAAACAAATAAATATATAAATGACTGTATGAATGAATAGTAGCAGTTGATAAAATTGATATTATTGTTAAATTAAAATGAATAAAAGGTCATAATGTATGTGTGTGCAAACCACAACCGTTGAAAATTGTTTCCCGATTCTTTCAGGTGCTATTCCAGTGAACATAAGGTCTATAATCTTCTATTTCAGTTTCACTTTGACCGACTGCGTCTGTTATACTCAATTGGTTATGGTATATCACTAGCATCTCTAATAATTGCTGTTTCTATTATGCTGTGCTGTAGGTGAGTAGCCACCGATTTAATGGAAGAATATTTCTACATGTATATATAAATAGGTCTGTTAGAATTGTTCCTGGAATCCTCTTTACAGATATGGAAGCAAAGACATCAAGATTATACGCCATTTGAAAATTGTTCAGAAACTGTTTAATTCCAGTCGAATCTTTTCCCTAAACTCTGTACAGTTCAGATAACTTCGAACGAATTGGGTTTTTTACCCTAATTTTTCCTCAAGACATAAACTTCATTTTATAAAGTGTAACGCAGCAGAACAGAATTTCATGTTTCGTTTCATTTAATTGTATCTTAATAATTGAATGATCTATCTGGTACAGTGCAGATTTCACTGACCTTTTTAAATGTACTGCTTTGAACTGGAATTCTTCTGTTCGACAGACAATTTGTTTGTGATTCACCGACATAAACACTGATTCTCTTAAATCTTGATCATTAGACAGGAGGTTTGGGAATTGATCACCAAAATTTAAACTGTCCATTCGTCTGAGATGTACAGTGTTGACAATTAGGTTTGAGATTTGAATTCAACGTGAGAAAATGTCCATTTGAGATGTTTGACACTTCTAAATTATGTTTAATGTGTTCTTGATAGACCTTGATAGACTAATCAAGGAACATGTTAATGTCTAATGGAATTTAAACCCATTCAACTCCATTCTAACATGTTCCGAAAGAGTTAGATATCAATGTTGTAATCTTTTTACTGATACTTTATGCTTTCTAAAGATATTTTTTGACCATTGAAAACCTCTGAAGTATTGCTGGAAATGTTGGACAATCAAAAAGGTTATGGTGGAGAAGCAAAAGTTAATGCTTGATGTATACTGGTTACGATCAATGCATGTCACATTACATTATGATTATTGCAAAATATAAAATGCTCTAATTTAAGATAAAATGATCGTTAGTGGTTGTTTTGTATCTTAAGAATAATACAAGAGATCTATTTTAATAGGTGTACACAAATTTTCTCTTTGTGAGTGTAAATCATTGAGTTACGAAAACATAACACTCACTTCAAACGCCTAGGTAGTTAGTGGTGTATATTTATAATTCTGAAATTTTAAGGTTCAAAATGTAAAATATTCTTGCTCTTAAAGTCAAGTGATAAATTCTTTTACTTATAACATCTTTATTTTATCGTCTCTATTTTAAATGGGACCTGTATTTGAATGTTGTAGGCTTCATTAAATTGTATACTATTTCTACATCAGAATTTCATTTATAATGAATAATACCTGGCCTTTGTTTCTACTAATGATTGAACAAATCTTATAACTGACTTTTTCATATTTGTCCCTTTCAGTCGTCTAAAATCAAAGAGCAACACACTGCATTTAAACCTTTTCTTTGCCTTTATGTTACGAGCTGCATTGTCGTTTTTAAAAGAAGCCTTATTTGTGAATGGAGTTGGTTTTGAGAAAGATATAAGACAGGTCAATGGTGAATTGCAATTTATTGAGGAGGGTTCGGTGAGTATATTTCACAAGCAATTACAAACTGATATTTCACTATAAAAACGTATTCTATTTTTTTCAGAAACTAATATTTCACCATAAAACTGACACTTTATCATTAAACAAATGTTTCACCATGAAACAGATATTTCACCATGAAACAGATATTTCACCATGAAACAGATATTTCACCATGAAACAGATATTTCACCATGAAACAGATATTTCACCATGAAACAGATATTTCACCATGAAAAAGATATTTCAACATGAAACAGATATTTCAACATGAAACAGATATTTCAACATGAAACAGATATTTCAACATGAAACAGATATTTCAACATGAAACAGATATTTCACCATGAAACAGATATTTCAACATGAAACAGATATTTCACCACGAAACAGATATTTCACCATGAAACAGATATTTCACCATGAAACAGATATTTCACCATGAAACAGATATTTCATTATGAAACAGATATTTCATTATGAAACAGATATTTCATTATGAAACAGATATTTCATTATGAAACAGATATTTCATTATGAAACATATATTTCATTATGAAACAGACATTTCATTATGAAACAGACATTTCATTTTGAAACAGACATTTCATTTTGAAACAGATATTTTACAATGGAAATGATATTTTACAATGGAAATGATATTTTACAATGGAAATGATATTTTACAATGGAATGAAATTTTACAATGGAAATGATATTTTACAATGGAAATGATATTTTACAATGGAAATGATATTTTACAATGAAAATGATATGGAGGTGATATTTTACAATGAAAATGATATTTCACCACTATTCTTATATTTCAACACAAGATGTTTCAGCATATTTCACCATGAGACTGATATGTAATTATTAGACTGATATTGTACCATAATAGTACGTTCACCTACGTTGAACCATTCGGATGAAGTTGGGGATTGGTATTTGTAATTCAGTACTTAAAGGGACAAGTGTGGCATTTTTATAATTCTCTCATACTTTAGTCTCAGAAACGGTAATTTTTTCAGCTAAGCCAATCAGTAATAGTGTTTCCAGCTCACCGTCAAATATCATGTTTGTCCAGAATTATCCGCGTTTGAATGTTAAAATGACGACAGTGAATACTTTTACTGTCCTAATTACTTTGTTTTGAACATGAAATTACTAGGTAAAACATGGGAATAGAATACATAATACAGTCTATTAAAAAATTACATATCATGTAAACTGATATTGATGAATGTAATAGTAGACATTATAAAATGTGATAAATTTAACTACCGCTTACCTGACAGATTTTAGATGGAGATCAATACCAGTTATTAGATATATTCATCTCACTTCACTGTCTACAGGCTGTTCATTTTAATATCTATCATAGATAAGTATATTCTTACAGGATGATAATTGAACCCCAGGGGTATATCAGATTTTGGGAAAGGGAGTGTTTGATTCTCCGAAATGTACAGATTCCTCGAAAATTCGATTATGGGGGGTACATGGACAATGTCTGTTGTAACCTCTCATGATTGGCATAGATTATCACTCCTCATGTCTGATAAGGAATACTGGTCAGGCTACGGGCCTGCTTTTCTATCCTGAATAATACACCACATGTTATTTCTTCTTTTATATATTTAAACTATATAAACTAAGCCAGTACTTTAATAAATAATGTCGTCTGGGAAATTTCATTATTTTTCATTAGATAAATTATTTGAGGATGATTCGATATGTAGCCTACATACCGATTTTTAAAGTGTAGATTTTAGAAGATTTCTCAGACAATTATTATTCGATTACTGGAATATATCGTAATATAATTATATCTATTTCTTATATCGTGATTATCATTTTACATTTCATTTGATTGGATGAACATGCCCAAAATACTGATAAGGTACCTAATGGTCTACTGGACATTCAGTCTAGGTCAACCCGACTACCACTTAACAATTATTCCTCCAAATTCAATTACTTGGAATCAGTGTATGATCCATAATGTTAGCGCTACTAATCTTTGCACAATTATTTGCGTCAGATTGAGTCGAAAGGTACAGATGGATGGATGTGCCAACACTCTATTGCTTTCTGACCACGTTTTAATCTTGTATTACTTTCATTCAACCTTTGGTTCTTTGAATGGTTTTGTTGATAAGATAGACTGAAAGATTTTGAGTACAGATGATCTGAATAAGTAGTAACGATGGCATTACGGCATTGTATAATTTGTGATTTTTTTTTTCAGCACTGGGAATGTCGCTTGCTGGTAGCGTTGTTTAATTATAGTATTTGTGTGAGTCAAATGTGGATATTTACTGAGGGTCTATATCTTCATATGTTAATTTATAGAACGTTGTATACAGACAGAAAGGGCGTCAAATTTTATATTTATCTTGGTTGGCGTAAGTATATTACAGTTTATTTGAGTCCGATAAGCAGGATAGACTGGAATCCATTCTTACATCAGAAAACTGAAAAAATCTCAGAACAGATCCTCTATTCTTGACATTAAATGAAATAAATTGGAGTTTTCTCCACACGTATGATATCGAAAAAAAAAACGAAACTAAGAAACATATTTTTTTACAATGATAACAACATGTATACTGTCTACCGGCTGGTCGTTAGTTATACCTTGATCATTCCTGGATTATATTTACCGATTTACAGCTGGGTCGACTGGACTGGCATATTGAGAAGTGGTTGGAACCCTAAAAGATTAAACTTAAATATGCTCAAGATGCAAAAATGAAATTTATCGCCTACTTTTTCTTCGTATTAAACACCACTATATGTCGTTGTCAGTTCATCATAGAGCTGAAACATGTTCCTAAAAGACTTCGTTCATTAAACCTGTTTAAAAAAAACACTGTTTATTTTGTTCTGATAAAATCTTTGTCCGACTGAATTAAATCTGAAAAGATGTAAAACGTCCAGACAGGTGTGAGTTATGTTCTACCGTTATCTTAACCAGATTTACTGTTAGACATTTATCGATCACCTTGATATTTACATTTCTTACAAATATAAACTAACTCTCTGATTGTAGATAATACTTTACTTACAAGAAGGTTTTCTGTGATATTTTATTGAGGCCTGAGATGGAACAGCTTCTTCAATGAGAATGGGAAGAGAGTTCCTGGTGAAATTCAGGAACATCAGATACGACATTTCATATAAAATATGACAACATTCGATTTCACGTCTAGCACAATACTCGGGCAAAGGCAAACTTCGCAAACGCCAATAATCCAAAACGTAATAATTTACCAGAAATGTTACTGTTATTAGAAATTGTAAGAAACTGATGACATGATAAATATTTTATTCTGTTTTGAAAGTTCTCTGTTCTGAAAAGAATCATTTTCATGGGAAATTTCCCTGTATTAATGTTGTTGGTGTATAAAGCACCTTGTATGACTTTAAGTTATAAATTTCATACAGAAGAGACAGAAAACCTTTAGAAATTTTGTTATCGATGATATTCAATTGTGATACATTGAAATAAAGAAATATTCATTTTCAAATCCATACAATTTGAAGGAAACTTGATATTTCAACTGATATAGACGTTTTACATCCATCATCAATCAAACAGACTTGTGTCGCCCCCTGTCAGATAAATTACATCTAGGAAAATATAAATACCCTTCGTTTCCTGTTTATATTAAAAAAATTTTTTATCTTATTTCATCATTTTAACACGGTCGATGTTAATTTTGAAATACGGTCGATTTCTTATATACGGTAGTGATCAATTCCTCCAAACCTTGGTAGAAATGGCGTGGATATACTTAAAGTATTTGTCATCGAATCGTAGTCTTTTTGAAAGGCGGAAGAGTTTTCTGCTGCCTGATTCAAACGGTAAAATATATTTCGAAATAAATCATGTTTGATGAAACTCGATGTGCGTATATACAAATTGAAAATACCTTGAATGAGTTTTACTACTAACATAGTCATAATTATTTATTCTTTTTCACAATTTTCATGTGAATCCGAAATTCCATTTGTCTGGACGGAACTGATAAAGTGAGGTCTGTAGCTGTGTGTTAAAAGTATAATAACGCTGCACCTGGAGCTCGACAAATAGTCCCATGCTTAATGTTTCTTTACAAAAAAACTTTGTAATATATTTTCAGTATCGCCTCTGCTGTTTTTTCTACCTTGGGCCATTGTTAAAGCTGTCAATGACAACACATAGTAAGTATTATTAACCTGCTTATGTATCACCTTTTCACCTACATTCTTTCTTTTTACAGAATGTTTAGCTTGTTAACTTCCCTTGAAATGTTAAATTAGGTCAATGAATTCATGACGTACACCTACCTAGACAATAGCTGATGCTCAAAAGATAGATCCAAACCAAAACATTTCATTTCTTTTCGTCCACTACATTTGAGATATATATTTGCATTTTGGTTATAGTAAAGTTCAATGACTGTTTATTGACTCATCTGTGGTAAAGAGCTTGATACAACATGCGAAGTACTATAAAAAAAAACTCTCTACTATGTTTAAAAAAAAACATCTACAAAAGAAGATTTTTTTAAAAATGATAAGATCAATGATTTGACGATATAAACAAGATCGAACTAAAGCAGTATTTCAAAAAAAAGATATGATCAATGGCCTTCGAATGTAAACAAATTATGAAAACATGTATTAGGATATAAAGTGTCTATCTATTTATGTTGATTTTCATCTGATAATTCTAACATGTATCATTATTTAAATAAATTCCTATTTTAGATGTTTATATTTAGATAGCAACTCAACTAAAGGATATCTATACTGACGTCATTATATCGAATAGTAAAATTGGGGATTTGTTCTCAGAAACTCCATAAATTACGAACCACTCTAAAAAAAACTTAAATAAACCTGCTTTTATCTCAAATCCATGAAAATATGCATACATAGATAAATAAAATTTAGGATAGACTGTTACCAATAGAGGATTGTATGTTAGAGAACAATGTTGTTTTGTGAAAGATGTGTTTAGGTCGATGGCGATTTAAGGCATCTCATCAGACAAATCAGAGAAAAATACTTTCTTCTGCGATATATTCCGATCACTTAAGTAAATGGGCAAATCGCTTTGCTAGAAAGTTGAACATGAGCAACTGCGATTCTTCCTTCGTCTGGCGTTTTATTTGTTCGTTTTAACATCGCTTTATTGCTTGTTTATTAAAGTGTTGGACTTATGTATTGATTTAACTTTCGTCACGGTTTTTTTTTCATTTTGGAGGTCATAAATTTTAGAGTACATATATACAACGGAAGCTAGAAAAACACATGCCCTAAAATCAAAATCCTGCAGATATGCGTACCAATACCCCCAATTCTGCCTTCAGATGAATCTTTATTGAGAAAGTTTTAATGGCGGATCAATGCCGCTTCCGCTGTCGATACAGTTTTGCCTTGTATTTGTTATCACCTAGCTTGTAGCATTTCCGAAGCAATTCTGTTGGTAACAGAATAGACCAGGAAGTGTTCGAAATCCCGTATGAGGCAATTTATGGTGTTTCAGATGGAATAGGTTCATTTCATCATGAGTTTTCTCTTAAATGTGGTGGTCTTATGAGAATAGGAATAACATTTTTATTTAATTAAAAATAAGTTAAGTAGCACTGGTTCACTGCCTTAAAAAACTAACATCCTTTATAATGCTCCATGGTACAAAAACCGCATGATATATTTCAACAGTTAGTTACTTTATAGTGTAAGTTGTAGTTGATATATCTTTTCATCCGAAGATAAATCTTTCACTTTCTTTTCTTTATGATGAAAATCTTTTATCATTCTTTTCGTTTTGAAGATAAACAAAAGTAAATTTATCATCTTTTATTCTGTTATCACATGGTCGTTATCAACAAAACGAACATAAAATTAGGTAAACTAGTTTAAAATGAACGTCACACCTAAATTTCATTTCCCCGTACCCCTAGTCCACCAGCTGGTTGTCATCAACTAATGTGAGAAATATCAACTCCGAAACACATCCAAAGTTGTGCAAACTGGGATGGTAAGATACACTGGATCATGACATCTGTTAAAATAATCTTCCTGGATTAGTACATCTGTTAAATAATCTTCCTGAATCATAAACAATAGTAAAACGCATCCTGGATGTTAAATAAACTTTCTGGATCATCTGTGAAGTAAGTTGTAAATGAGTCACTATATAGAATTTCAGTGTAGGAGGAGGCAAGTTTCAGATCTTACGTCTTTAAGTGATAATATCGATCTGTAAGAAAAGTTTGAAAGAGATTAACACCAGATCAATCACCTGAATCGACAGTGCGATCTGGGAAAGTTGGAACTAATCATTTTTGAAATAGTTTTAATCTCTTCTAAAGCTATTTTTCATATTATATTTTATTGTCAATAAAATTTAAAACCGGCGTTGTAATAATTTTTTTTTATTTTTTTTATCTACTAAACTCGAACTTGCATTTCTGAGTTTTCTTTTGACCGAATCTGACGTCAATTTCTAATTTTTTGCGAAATGTCATTACCTTTTAGATTTTGATATGAATTGATATATAAGTTTCAAAAAAATACAGTTAACATAAAAAATTTTAATGTGTCCGTAGAGTTTGAATAAAAATTATTACATAATCACAGGCAGTTTGCATTATCTGACCATAGAACCGTACTAGTTCCATTATCTGGCTTATTATCACATCCATTAGCTTAATCTTGCGGGGTTGAGTTGGTGAATTTTTCTGCTCAAAGTTGTTTCATCAACAGCAAATACGACTTTATCGTGAAGGTGTTCTTGTCAAATGCATTTAAGTACAATATTTCACACCTCAGTTTAAGTAATCATGGTGAAAACAGATTTTAAATCGGGTGGTGTTACACAAGTTATATGCCTTGCCAAATTAAGTTGGTATGGAATATTCCCAAGCGTTTCCTCGTATTTAATATTTTATATTTGTAAGACATTACTATGGAATTTAAGTTTTACTTAAACAATAAAAACATGTTTAAATAATTTATCTTGTAAAATCCATTATCACATTTATCTACCTTCTGTTATGTTTTTGTGTAAATAAAAACGTACTGTGATTTCAATCAATTTCGACAAGACTATAACAACTTGCAGTAAGCCAAAAAGTTCTGCAAAAAATCTGTGGAGATAAATCATTGTATTCAGGGATAAAGGATTTTTTATCATTACAAGGTTCTATTTCAGTAATGTGATACTGACGAAAGGTCGTTGTTCTACATTCGGTGAACATCAAACACGAGACTTTTGAGATTGGAAAAGAAATTGAGAGTTGGTACCACTGTTTTCAGTAAAAGTGCCGTTCGTTCCACATTAAAACATAACATGTGGTACTGTAGATCTGAAAGTATTACGTAAGAGTCCGTTTCAGGTCATTTGCCTTATGCACGCCATTTAATACAGCATTTCCTCGAATAAATGACTATTAAATAGTCTGTTTGCGTGCAGAATATACATAAAGCATTATAATACTATAAATTAGATATAACTAAACTTTCAACCTGTATTTTCAGTAGGTTACTTGCAATAAATCGTGGACACAAGACCATTTCTACAATCCTGTAAAAATAAAATATTTAAACACATATTAGTCAAAAGAAATACTACTTAGGGTAGCTAGGACAAATTAATCAGAATAGAATCAAAATATTGCGGTGTTTAAATAAGTTTATTTGACAGTTGTAGCTCCGTCACACCGGAAAGGTGTCCTTACTAAGTTGCTACGACGACGGAGAATTAGACAAGCGCCATAACATCTCCATAAACGCAATAGAAATGAAGTACACCAGACCAATAGGCTGTAATTAAAACGCGCCAAGGAACGCAATATGTCGCAGGTTAATAACATTCTAACCTTTTTTCACGTTTGCCGGCGACAAAGCCGGGTGACCAAGCCCGTGTATTTTCGAAGCCATTGCGTCAATTAGTTCATCGTAGTGGCCAAATAAGTAGTAGCAAATCTGCCGCTCATCAGCAGCAGTCCTTCTAATCGGTCTTGCACCATAGGGTATAAGTCAACAAAGTACTAACGATCCGAACCGCAAAACGAAACCCAAAATACAAACAACATTTTGGCGAAACATTAGAAGCAGCTAATGAACTTTTCACATGGGGAAGTTCATCAATCATAAGTGAGAAACTATTTCTTAGGAAGCATTCGAGATTTGACTCGTTTCAGGGCAAAAAAAGTGCGTTCAGCTGTCGAAGGCATGTCTGTGTGTTCGGGTATTAATAGATTTTAATACTTTCAACTCATCTGCATCAAGAGGCTGGCCAATTGACAAACCTTTGCTTTATCTTTGGAAATGCTCCTGAAAAAATATATTAAGTTCTGCTGAACACCATACAAAAATCAAAGTCAAATTCCAACAAAAAGATTCCAGCTTTAGACATAGATGATCTGTTGTAAATCAACCTACATTCATGCGAATATTAAAAAGTGACGAAAAAGTGACGAAAAACCGACGACCTTCTAGAATACTGCTTCTAGTAACCTTCTACAAACTAAATTTAAATTTGCAAGTTTACGATGGCATTCATGATGGTAATTACAACAAGGCAATTAATACTCCTGAACATACTACGACAAAAGCAAAATCATAATATACAAATGTAGTCACGTGTCGTCTGATAGAATATATGGTAATTGGCATCTTTAAAATGAATTTTAGCTTCCCAAATACACTATTTAGTTGAGTCGCACAGATCACCAATTCAAGAATGAAAGTACAGGAATGAAAAAAGGACGTTATCTTCGTATGTTTACCTTTTGAAGACTTGATAATCGTATTTTTATACGCCCACATGAAATGGGCAAGTCCGTCCGTCCATCCACAATTGCTCGTAAACACTATTCAAGGCACAATTCTTGATTGATTTCGAAGAAACTTGGTATGGTTGTTTGTAATCACTCAAGGATAAACCATACCGAAAATCAGAAAAATTGAAAAATATTTACTGAGTTATTGCCCTTGTTCTTGAAAACGCGTTCAATTTTTAGCTCGTAAACACTGCAGAAGGCACAAATCTTAACGGATTTTGACGAAACTTGATGTGAGTGTTAGTAATCACCCAAGGATGAACCCTATTTAAAATCAAAAAGATCAGAAAATAAATAGTATGAGTTATTGCCCTTATTCTTGAAAATGCGTTCAATTTTTAGCTCGTAAACGCTCTAGAGGATTCAATTACTGAGAGATTTTGACGAAACTTGGTGTGAGCGTTTGTTGTCAACTAAGGATAAACCCTATTTAAAATAAAAAAGATCAAAAAATAAATAGTATGAGTTATTGCTCTTGTTCTTGAAAATGCGTTCAATTTGTAGCACGTAAACATTCTAGAAGGCACAATTATTGGTGGATTTTGACGAAACTTGGTGTGAGTGTATGTAATCACACAAAGATGAACCCTAACAAAAATCAGAAAAATCGAAAAATGTTATTGCTTTTTTAAAAACGCGTTCAAGTTTTAACCTGTAAACACTCTAGAAGGCCCAATTCTTGACAGGTTTTGATGAAACTTGGTAATATTATTCAGTATCGCCTCAAAAAGTTAAAAGAAGTGTATTTGTGATGGTTTAATATTTCATACTGGTAATTGTTACTGTACTGCCAAATAATTTTATTTAAAATCAAAGCTGCCAGTGGGCGTATATTACCTTGCCTGGCAAGCTATCTTCTATCTTTCTAGTTGTTGGAATATAAATACCCATGCCGGATATTTGTGGATTATGCACGGACCGTTAATGGCTACAGTCGTTGTAAGTATCATTTTTCCCCACTCACCTATAGTCTCCGAGAACAACACTAAACTCACGTATGTGTGTATATATTTTCCATGCATCAATATGAATGACGGTAAGAGACATATTCAAACAAATAAATATTGGTTGGATAGCCTATTAGATGACCCGAACAAGGGAATGCGTAACTATTTCGTCAGATCATTGATTCATTAACAGATTCAGAGTGATACATGTTCATGGACAGATTCAGAGTGATAATTATTCATGGGCAGATTCAGAATGATACAACCTCATGGACCGATTCGGGAGGATACACGTATTCATGAATAAATTTGGAGTGATATATATTCATGGACAGATTCAGAGAGACGGATAGGTTCAGAATGAAGTCTATTCTTGGACAGATTCAGAATGTTACGTATTTAAGCTGCTTCAAATGCCCTTGATATTGAACAAATATACTCTGGATCTATTTAGTTGAATCTCTTCCCAATATTTTTTTGTATCTTTCAGGTGAACTGTTTCTTCTTTCTGGATATTTTGCGTGTTTTATGTACAAGAGTGAGAGCTAATCAGAGACATGCTGGGCGTACACAATATAGGTAAGTTTATCAATCGTTATTTATTTCAGCTCTGATAGAGGATCGGCTATTGTGGTTTCTTAAGTAATGCATTAACGACTCGGTCCAGATGAGAGCAAATAAAACTTGCAATCAGCACGATATAAAATACAATTCTCAACCCTTGCTGCAATGTTGGTTAGACCTTTTCATTCTCAGGTCGGAAACCTATAAATAATACTAATATTGATCTATAGTGATTTACTTTTCCTAATAAAGCTCAATTTCTGTACAATTAGATGGTTTTATGAAATTAAGTTTGATTTGCCTATCGTCAGGAGCTGCAGCAGTTTGAGTGATATTTTTGATAAAAGAAACGATAATTATTACCAGTTTTGACATCCTTCATATTAAAACATGACGAAATAAACAATATAAGCATCAATCTCAGGGATATCGAGTAGACAGATCTAATTGTAATTGCTACAGGTGTTCAAAAAGAGTGAGCATACCCTGCTCCGCTAGCAACAACTGCCATATTACTTATTCGCATATAACATTACTGAATCGGGCTTTTAAATTCAACACATGACACGCACTGCCCCGTTTTCTTTAAAAACGAACACCAGAAACGTTAAAGGTTTGTGGTTTCAGTTTCATAATAAGCACAACATTGTCTTGGTTGTTAACCGAAAATTGTAACATGTAACAAACTAAACTGCGGATAGAGACGCAGAGTAAAATAAACATAAACTTTAATGATGAGCCATTAGTAAGATAAGCACAGACGATTGGACAATATAAACTACATAATCTGATGCTCGGCACCGGCGATGCACCACAATATTGTCAAGAGGCCTTTTAGGTCAATATTGTTACAAGATCATTATTTATTTAATCAAGTTTTCAATTGTTTAAACATCTAGACCAATCTAAGAGTTTAAAGAATATCTAGTTACAGGAAAGATCTATAGAAGTGAGGTCAATAAAAGTTGCAAATAAAGATTGTAGTAAAAAAAAAAGCTCAGTATGATCTATTTGAAGTAATATTTTATTCGTCACCAAGAATTGCGTTTCGTCTTTAAGGAGACTGTTGATAATTGGAACAGCATGATAGAGACAGTTCAATTTACAATCTAATTTTCTAGATACCAGCAATTATTATGGTTTATAATATTCTATTTTCAGACGACTGGCTAAGTTTATTTTAGTTTTAATTCCACTGTTTGGTGTGATGTACATAATATTTTACGTGTCATTCCCCAGCACTGGGTTTGAGATGGAGGTTGACATGACACAACTTTACATTGAGATGACCTACAACTCCTTTCAGGTAATGTAGTCTTTGCTTCATTGTGAATTGATTATTAAGCGTCCACCTCAGTAAAGGTACGAATAGACGAGGTACGATGACCGGTGTGGTGTATGGTGTGGAATACAGTAGAAAATAGAAGAAGTGAACACGATTCCGGACACGATTCGCTTCTTTTATTTTCTACTGTATCGATAATCCCACACTGTACCGGACACCGGACACCGTACCTCGACTATTCGCACCTTTAACCAGAATTTGGTTGTTCTCGTTGCCTATATGACAACCCAAAAACAGGGTTCTGGATTGTTTTACAGACAAGTCACTGCTCATCACTTATTGATCTTGCAGTTTGCTATCTGATTATTACTCGAAACTGTTGTACTGTCTATTAGTAATAAATAATATTTTCTGTTATAGGGTTTTATTCTCTCCCTCTTATTTTGTTTCTTGAATGAAGAAGTTCATGCTGAATTAAAACGGATGTGGTATCGACGTCAGAGTCGACGCAGTGATAGCATCGTGTTAACCCGATCCTTTGTACTGTCTTCGTGGAAAAAAACTTCTTATCAGACTAACAGAAACATAATCTGTGACAAGGACAAACTACCAGATTTCAGTCGGCACTCAAAAATACAAAACGAGGACATGTTGTCAAGACTTAAAACACGGGCAATGTACATACTTAAAAAGGACACACAAGTTCAAAATGGCGGGAATGTAACTCCGTGTAACGGTAATCTCGTGATACGAGACGAGAGTTTGAGTGACATGAGTCAATACGTCAATAATAAAAGCGATGACTCAATTTCTCCAGAGTCAGTGTGATATTTGATGATTTCGCAAACATTATAGCAAGGTTGCGACTTGGTTTCCTTTCTGGGTGGTGCAGTTTAAATCTAAAAAGTACATCACTCCATTTATCATTTGTTGATTCAGGAATTTCTTTTTGATTATTTAACAATAAACATTAACAGAAAATGTATACCAACTGCTGAAAATGCCGCAATCATTCTTTTGGAGAAAATTCGAAATCACCTTCCCCTGCTGCAAACTAGAATGGACTACTGCTCTACGTGTCTGTTTACATATTGCGGGTTTTGTTTGTTCTTTTTTACCTTTGTCAAAAGACAATTACATCCTTGTGAATAATGTGGTACGGAAAATAGTGTGTGCTGCTCAGTAAATTAATGTAGTGTACACCACGTGTTGAGAACATTGGGAATATTCCACTTCGAACACGAACGCGACTGTTCACTCTTGAGGGGTGGTTTGAGAGGTTTGCATAGATTATGACGTCATCACCTTAAGGTGTGGAATATCAAAAAAAGCTTTTCCTTAACATAACTAGAGCCTATACTTATGGATTGGTGCCCGATGTGTGGGGTGTACGGTGGGGGTTAATGGGAAGAAGCGAATATAAGATGTACGGGTTTAGACACGAAGCGCGTGGTTCGTTCTTTATATTTTCCACTATATCAATGTTTGGTCTATTCGCATCTCTAGTCTCTGACTTTTTTTTAACGGAATAGATGACAGAAGCATATGTGTGTCGTTAGCGCTCTGCAACTTCAGTTTAATGAAAACTGTCTAGATTTGTCGAATGGTGATTCTCTTGAAGGAGAACTTAATTCCAGCGTGTATTATTCAAGAGATATCTTGAACATGCACTAGAGGGGTTTAAACAGTTGAAGGAGGCTTGAGAGATCACTTAAAACAAACTACCAACGTCGATAATTATATAGTTAAAAACTTTGTATGCTGAAATGAAGGAAGTCATGCAGATTTATACAGTAATGTCAGAGTGTAGTTATGTCAGCTAATAACCGTATAGAATTGTTCTATTAAGCACCTTGTGCAAGTTTCTCTTTTAGTGTTGTATTATACGTTTTAACGTGGTGGGCTCAATTTTTGTCTTAACATTTTTTTAATTCTTTCGTTTAACAACATAATTTATGCTGGAACAATATAATATATTGAAAATTGAGTTTTTATTAGCCCTCCCTTGGCCAATAATCCCCAGCACTGTTCCTGATCTCCACTTCAACATCTGCAGTCAAGAGTCACAAGTTACATTATGGTCAGACTGTGTTGTGCAAACATCGTACTGTCGTCTAATATCAATCTCTAAATTAGGTTAGCAAATCAGTCCGTCTACGCCTTTTTTTTGATATAGTGTAGTGCTCATTCCATACTAAGGGGTAAGGTTTCAAAATAACTGTAATAAGAACTTGAAAAAAATTAGAAAACAAGGAATAGATACTTCAAACCCAGACAACTGTAAATATTATGATTTTATGTTTTACTTCTTACAATGTATTATTGAATAACAGTTTGGTTGATATATAAGATTCAAGAATATTTCCTCCAACAAGTAACATGGAATGTAAACTAATCTCATAAAACATGTTAACGATCTAGACTGATTCAGTATACTCGTTCAGTCATGCTAATTGGATACAGTCAAACCTTTGGCTCGTTCTAGAAAATTTGATAGATTTGATAATAAATGATTTTGGGGTTTATGATTTCAATGATTATATTAACCAATTATAGCAGAGAATTTATATTTTTTGATAATTAATATTATAGTCAAGAAAAGATATTTGTGCTCAACATAAAAACACGAGCAACCCAATAACCTTTTAGTAGAATAAATAGTAATACAAGCTACTCAGAGTACTCAGAGTCGGATCCACAAGTGCATAAATATCTTGTTCGACTTTTAATTTACCAAATCTGATCTCAATGACATGACTTCAATTGAAATCTTGCGCATCCAAGCATTAGTGAAATCAAGGTGACCGATAGCTGTGTGCGCCGTAAAATTGTTCTTATTAACATTGGATTAACAAAACAAAAACTGGTTTTCGTCCGTTTACGGAGGTTGTACTGTAGTTTGTAATTATGTTTGAACGGTTGGCTGCAGGTTGTAAAAAGACGATATTAATATTGACGGCGAAGCAGTCGAAATTAATTACTTCTTTATAAATACTTTTTCAATTCTACCCCAAAACACAAAACGTGACATCGAGTAGATCTAAACAAGTAACTGATTTCTTTCTTGTCGTGTAAGTAGATTTTGACAGTGATTTGGTTTGACCTCATTCATATTCCTGCGACAATACAAAATACACTCGAACATCCAATTTAGTTTAAATTCGTCTGATACAGATGTCTGGATGATATAGACAAACTAAATCCTTATTCAAATGTTATCTTCAAATTATTGAAAAACCGCTATAGAATTAGAGGAAAATAAGGTTTGGTCAATAGAATTTGATTGAATTGCCGACCTTAAATAACTTTACTTGACAATTTCAGTAAATACTCACTAATTGCAGTGAATTGAAATAAAATTCGAATGAAAGGGGTTTGCCTTTTTCGGCCATTCACTTCTGCATTTCATGGCGAGAAGTCATAGAGTACAGTATCACGATTTTTAAAGTTTAAATGAAGTAATCCACGAAACTTAAACATTTCGGACAAGATCTTGTTAACTAGATATATTATAGAAGATTGCCAATACGTTTTGTTTTGCTTGAATAGCGTATTTTAAATTATATTTCTTTAATACATTATTTATTGCATTCTTCAGAGACAAGTGTTTATCCATAGAGCGTATAATCTCTCTAAATCCTAATATTGAACATTTACACAATATCCGACTTAATAGATATTTTATATCCGAAACATGTCGACAGAATGAGATGAACCCTTCAATAAGATTGAAAATGTACGTTATGACCATATAACAAGAATAAACATTTATTCACATATAAAACAATAGTACATAGAATAATAACTAAAAAAAATAACAGGATTGGTTGTATGGATCTTCAATCAAGAAGAGTAAACATTGCCTACAGGGATGGATGCGGTCAAAACCACTTTTCAAAGTGTATATTGGAAGTGGGCACCTTCTGCTGGAGCAAAAATTTGTTCATAGTTTTTATCATTGAAAGCGGACCACATAGAAAAACGTGTAGAGAGTTCAAATCACAATTACTAACTACTGACTGTATATCGCTTTCATCTATTCTTCTATCTACAAATACAGAGAAAATAACAGTAGCAATATCATGCCAAGCTGATATGAAAACATCGCACTAAATCAGAAGATATATGCTTTTAGCAAAATTAATTCAAGCTGATTCTTTCGCGCCGTTTTTCAAATCATTACATCTAACGTTGACTGTGATTTGTGGTCTTCATTTATAATAGTCTAGTGTTTTATGTTTTATTGTATACTTCGCCATTATATTATTTCAACCAGAAAAGATACGGGTGGTTATTATTTTAAAGCAAGAAAGTTGTGATTGCATGATGCTGGATTTACCAAACGGATATCATGATGAAGGTGATGAAGGTGTTAAAAGTTCATTATCCACGTTAATTCGTCATGCCTTTAATTTTAATTATGGTTACCGAAGAGAAATCTCTCTTCATGCGCTACACGTTAAAATTATTTTGATTTAAAAATGTAGACTTATACCACTGTTTGCCATAATTTCCCCTTAAAAACACAAAAGAGCCTTAATCCGTAAACAAATTAAGTATGGTACTTACAATGTATAGAGGGATGATTTGGTGTTGATTGGGTGGTGTAATATTGAACTGTGGTATAAGGACATTTTTCAAACAATGTGTCTAGTGTAGTCTGAAGATATAATCACGCCATGTTGTCATCATTAAAAAAAAATATTTTGGTACCAAAAGCCATCCACTCAGCTTCACTGAACAGATCAACCGCAGGAAAACAATACATAAAATGGTTATTAATATAATAAATCAAACAATAACAAATATTTTCACTGTTAAAATAGCGCTCAATACATCAATTGTATATAGCGATGAGAACTCCCATATTTTCAGAAAATATCAAGTTATAGCACTATACCAGCTCGGATCATAAAAGAGAGGAATTTTATTGTTTGCTTTATACATCCCTCATCAAATCAATACTTCATAGCTTCGTGTTTTGAAAATCGACCATCAATAGATATCTTTTTTTTGTAGTGTATCAACCTTAACTGCTATAAAAAAAAAACATGGAAATATGGTTGCTAGCAGATTCTGTCAGTCACACGACAGTCAATATAATTTTGTAAAGTCGACGTTGCCACTTACCTTATATATAAGATCTGTTTGTGTTTTAGCTGTATATAATAAATAGGTTTTACAAGTGGAAGTCTGGCGTATATCATTAATATGCTGTATTATACTATATAAAGGATTTATTCCCACGCCTCCCGCAATTAGAAGAACGTCATCCTTTAAGACTTCTTTAGGTGGGTTGAAATAAAATTCTCCACCAACTTGCAACTTTACTTCATCTCCAATTTTACACTGAAATATCATAACTACTATCCTTTTCAAAACTTACTTTTCGCTAGCAAATAGTTGGTAATTTGACAACTCTTTGACACAATGACATAATTTGAAGATTTTCTCTAAAGTTTCCTTAAAATTGACACATTTCAGATTGAATATTCTATTCTGTGAAATCAAATTCTAAATAATTATTTTATTCATTGTTACCGTTTTGATAGGTTTGCGAGTACCAAACCTCCCTTCTCCGAAATCTTATCTTAGTTGACGTACGAAAATCTTTCGGTCTGGAATAATCTTCATCATTCACCAGTATAATTTCGAGTATAAATTGGTACAGATGTTGTCAAACATAGATAAAAAATTAACCAACCTGTGTATGTACCCAATGAGCTGGTGGATGAGAACTATTACTTATAGCGAGTTCTATAGTGTGGTCTGTTAGTAATGTTTTAGGAGACGAGGACATGGAGAAACCACCTACCACATCAACACCTGGTATATACATATCTACCCTGGATACAAGTAACAAAATATCAATAAAATTACTAAATCCATACTATTAACTGTATTTCACTCCTGGGTGTTGTGGTACACGACGTTTCAACAATTTATATTGTCACCGTCTGGATCATTCATCATGTTCACTTTCGAAAATTTGTTTTACATACACACATAATATATGTCAAAATATAGATAAACAAAATCAATTCTTGAAGAAATATAGAGCGCTTAGGAATAATCAAATTGTTGTGATGTATGTGAATGTAACGAAAACATACCCCATAATAGTTGCGCGCTTTTAAAATACATACCATTGCCCAGCCTTGAAGTTAAATGATGTGTGTGCAATTTTCAAAGTCAGCCCCTTTACTCGGTCTGATTCGTTTCTGATTTCTATAACTGTTGCTTGTGATACTTGCTGAAATACAAACAATCCGATTATAAAGACAATTTACATACTACATACTTATAACTGGTACGTGCTTCTGTGGCAAAAAACACAATCGACCTGACAGGATTAGGAAGTTGATAATGCATAAAGTACCAGTATAAGGTTTTATAAGAGAAACAAATAATTCAGAAATGCAAAGCGATTGTTTCAGGGAGTTAATGAAAGGTGATCTAATCTACCATGGACAAGAACATTACTCAGATTTTTTATTCCTTTTTTGGGTTTCTGAGAAAGGCTTTTCGAACAGCGTCTAAACCATACTTGTCATCAATATTCGTATACACAGCCTACTCGTTACATCTAAAGAAATGAAAAACGCGTTATCTGGTATATCTAAATCGGTAGTGTCTTTCAAGTACGACGGATGTTGCAAGCCAATTGTAGTAAAAAGTGGTCAATGTTTTCGGAAACTTGGTAAGATTCGCTGGAACAGCCGGAAATAATCGCCTACCCTTAGGTATGGTACAGGTAATGAATACAAAACGAATTGTGTTTCTACTGAAAAGTGGAATATCTGTCTGAACCTATCATAGGCCTATTCTGACATGAAACACATATAGCCTACGTACAGGATTTCTTTTGTTACCAGCCGTGATTTCTAAATGGGTCTCCTTTTTACCAGATGCTGTAGAATTCTCTACCCTCCCATTGTTTGTGATACCAGACATGTGAATCTCACAACGTTTAACAAACAACACAGTCTGTAGCCCCAGTTGGTTCCTGAAACATTCGCCTAATCAGTTCAAGTAAGATATCGCATGCCATAAAACATCTTCTATGAAAATAAACGATAGGGGCAGGCTAGCCAAGACACCCTTCAAGGCCTTTCCTTCGGATTAGAGGTATGCCTAGTCCATAAGTTCTATTAGATTTACTAATAGGAAGAAAGAGTTCCATAATTTCTATTAGATTTACTAAGCGGGAATCATGATAGTCCTACATAATGAAAAAACAAACCATATACATCACAATGCAAAGCGCTAAAGTGAAATTATGTATTCCAATGGAAACATGAGCAAAGTCTAATCATCACAAAGATTAGCTCATGTCCATTTACGACCAAAGGGAGAAAACTCTATTTAAGAAATTCATCAGACCACATTCAAATTATTCCACTAATTTGCCCGATTTGTAGTTCTTAAAAATACGATGTTTCTGGAATATCTTGATACAATAATATGTAATGATCTTTACAGAAACACTTACAAGAATCCGCCTTTTTGTCGCCAGAGAACCCTTAGATTGGCACAGAACATTATTTTGCTGTCAGCTTTTTTTATTCTACGTAGTCGCACTTGTTTGAAAGTTTATAATTAGGCCTTATCCGCACCATGATCAAACTTGTAGATGAAACTGAAAGGACTTAAATTCGCTACCAAGTGGTATGATGAAGTCAAAATAATAGTACAACTCACGCTTCAAAGTAATCTAATTTTTTTTATTCAAATTTGAATATAATGTCAGAAGGAGAGATTAGATTTTGAAAAACAAATGTTTTAGCTAATCAAGTATTGTAACTTCCGCCGGAAGTGAATGTTCTATCTAGTGTTGTTGATTTTTTAAGATTAAACGACATTAACATACCGTAACATTTTCTCTTTTTATTCGTATTTTGTAGATTTTAGAAGTTCAAAATGGGCAAAGGTTACAATAACTACATGACCAAGAAGTTCTTTCATCCTTCAAGTAAAGAAAATCTTAAAAGAGTAGGTATAAATATTACTTTTTCTCACCACAATCACATTTTTCAAAAAGTCAATAAAATAATCATAATGCCATGCATATCACTGTCTGTCACTTTCTCATAATTTCGAGGCTGATTCCAATTCACTCTAAAACAACCAGCAAAGTTCAACACAATTTTGAAGTTAAAACCCACGCCAATTTTCAGAATGGAGTTCTTTTTTTTTTTTTATCAGAATGGGGTTCTTTTTATTCCTTCAGCATCTGCCCTTACATTTTGACATTTTGGTACTGTTGAAAAGCACGTAAAAGCGCGGATCTTGTGATCAAAACCTCGTATTCTAAGTTGGAAAAAACCCAAAAACCACTAATTAGATAACATGTACATAAACCGTCAGATTTAAAACCTCGTAAAATATTATATTATACGAGGTTCAATGTTCCATTTTCTGCGGAAGAAAACGAAAAACCTTGTATACTGTACTATTATACGAGTTACTGGTTGAATAGGCCGGAGTACTCAAATTGTTATACAAGGTTTAAATTTTCAAAGAATGAAAACCATGTATAGCTGTAAAAAAAATTTTAACAAAGTATGCGTAGAAAAAGTTTTTTGGGTTTTTCATGAAAAGTAATTTCGTGTCATATAGCGTTATACGGGGTTTCAAGCGGTCACCCACGATATGAATAAAGTTTTATGGGACACAGCTGTATAAATGGACTGATGTATTATTTGATGACATTGACAGTACTTTGTCAGCTAAAATTCATTTCTGTCTCCAATTACTTGAGTAAAAACTCAACTATATAATGATTTTAATGTTTGTGTTAGGTATGGATGGCTGAACAGAAATCAGTTTTTGAAAAGAAGAAACAAGAAGACATGTTGGCACAATATCAAAAAGAACAGGACCAACTGAGTAACAGGTAATATCCATTTTAATGAACTACTTAGTTGGTGACTTACTCTGTAGTCAGGTAAGTCAGCCATTGCAACAAATTCTGAAATTTGAAATTTATGTTCAAAGGCAAAGAAAAAAATGGCTTTTATTATAAAGCAATCAGACTTTTGCACCTTTTGTTTTTTCAACAAATATTGAAATCTTTCCTACTTTTTCATTGAATAATCTTTAAAGTTGCAATTTTTCCATAGGATTGCTGTCTTTCAACCCCAAATTACATTTCAGAGCCTTATTGGGGGATGAAAAGGCAAAAATGGGTTTAAGTTTTTTATATGATGCTCCACCAGGCTTGAAGAGAAAAGAGGTATGTCATAACTTTGAAAACTGTATTTTTTTAATTTGTTGGAACTGATCATAATCCTTGCCTTTGCTTACCAGGCTCAAGTCTTGTGTCACAATTGTTACACAAAGTACAGAACAATAAAGCTAGTGCAGAATCTAGACTTCCAATCTATTTACAGCTTAATTAATATTTATCTTAATCTATATTTATTTGTGATGCCATAGCCGAGTCAACCCACTGTAAATATTTGATTTAGTATAAGCATTATATATTAAAACTTAAACTGTTTGTGATTCCAAAGAAATATTTCTAATTGCATATCTGGTATTTACTGTTGAACTGAAATGAGGAATAATTTGTATTTTGTTTTTTATAGAAAGATGAAGGGGAAGATGATGTGAAGTTTGAGTGGCAGAGAAAATTTAATGCTCCTAGGGAATCGTAAGTTTTAGTCTATGATAGTTGAATGGGTTAATAGATTTTAAAATCAGTCTGTTATTTCTCTCCATGACAATTGTGCCCTTCGTAAATTATGCATTTACTATTTTATTACTTATCAAATTGATACATGGATTTTTTCTAGTGATATCAAATGATCCAGACATGGTTTGTTTTCTTTTCATTTTTTCTGAAAGTTTATATTTTATATTTATTTAAAGATATGCTAAGGGAGATGAAGATATTAAAGATCAACCGTTTGGTATTGAAGTCAGAAATGTTAGATGTATCAAATGTAGACAGTGGGGTCATGTTAATACAGATAAAATTTGTCCTTTTTTTGGCCAAAATCTGACAGCAGAACCACCAAAACGTAAGTAATTAAATCATAAACTTTAAATTTTGAATATTTTGAAAAAAAAAGAAATACTTTGTTTCAAAAAATGGTCACAGTTTGGCAAAAAATCAGGAATTTCTTAGATCAAGTTTGATGTTACATTTCTATGATCCTGTTTATTTCAGCTGAAACCAGTACATCCTCTTTAATCAACAGTTTAAAAGATGATGGTTTTTCTATGAAGAAAAGTGTTCGTGGACAGTTTATGGAGGAAAGTGGAAGTGGAAGTAAATTAGTAAGTCAAGCTCTTTATCTTCGTTTTTTAAGTTGTGTTCTAATTACAGAAGACAATTAATGATAGTAAAAGGTCTGCTTGATAAAAAGAAAAATCTAAACACTAAGAAGATATCAAAACCTGTCTTTTCTTTTATGATGTACTTTTATCAACTTCTATTTAGGATTTGTGCATGTGACTGATTCATCTTCAAATTTGTAGAGTTCACACAACTATCTTATATCATTGCATGTATTTTAATAAATATCAATATTTTGTAGATGATCAATAAGAATGAAACAGATGATCCTGAAATTCAGTTTCTACAGTCTCTCACTCCAAAACAGAAGAAAAAATTACTTAAGTAAGTAACCTAGTAATATTTTGAGAATTAGCTACATAGTTCTAAACCACTTACATTTTACCACATTTTAGTCCAGAACATCTGCCTCTATTCCAGCCTCTGATAGATATTATGACAGTAGAGTCAGAAAAATTAACCCTGTAAATTGGAGATTTATCATACGAATGAAGATGCCTTTTTTTCTGAAATAATTTTGAATAACCTTTAAGATGATTGTATGTTATATTAATATCTTATCACATGATATATAAGTGTGGTGGGCAATGCTCACTTTTCTGTAACACTTTGGCTAGGTTAGTCAATTTTGCTTTCTAATGTTCCCTTCAAATTCACAGTCATCTTCAGCAAGGTTTAATTTTTATTTCAGCCTGATATAATAATATTTGTATATAAATGTTAGTCAGTAGCAGTGTTTTGTGGTTTCTATATTACTATCATGAAGGTTTTTCTTTTTATTTCAGGAAGTTGACTAAGCTACAAGGCAGTAATGATGATAGTTTGGCTACAATTAAAAAGGGAAAGAAAAAATCTAAAAAGAAACAGAAGAAAAAAGAGAAAGGTAACAGTTAAAATTTTTTACTCTCAAGAAAGCCAGTGGTGTGAACTGAATTGAAATGATTTACTGATGTAGACATTAGAGGCATTTTTACGCACGTAAATCTGATCCGATTACCCTAATCAGAATGCCAAAAAAAGTCGAATCTGATTTATACTGCAGGATAAATGAACATTATACTATTTATAGTTTCCAAGATGGCGGATAGGCAGGAAGAAATTATCCTGCAAGTAATGGTTTTGACATGTTGGACGCCATTACTAAAGCAGAAGTTAACAGAGCTACGACCCTCTAAAGTTGATTTACTCGATTAACGTATATCGATTTGATTCGCTGCTACAATAAATGCGCTGATTACCATAATCAAATTTGATTTTATACAGTATGAATGGTTTTTAGACCAAATCGAATCAGATTAACCCAGGATAAATTCGACTGAGATTCAAGTGATATAGATGTCTAAATATAAATATAAACATAAACTCTTCTGACTATTAATGACACTAAACAGTATTTATAACAGATGACAAAACAAATATTTAAGGTAAGTTTATCTATAGTTAAAGAGAACTGAGCCTGATTTGTTCTAATTTTTTTATTATATATTTATATTTTTCAGAAGAGAGTTCTGATAGCTCCAGTGAAAGTGAAAAAGAGAAATACAGACACAAGAAGAACAGATCATCCCATAAACATGGGAAAAGTGACTCTGATGAGGAACACATGTCTAGACAGTGCGGACATGACAAACCTCATGAAAATGGGGACAGAAATCGAGGATTTAAAAGATTTGTTAAACAAGAAAAACATTCAGAAAGAGGTTTTGGAAAATACGATTCCAAACGTCTGGTCAAAAAAATAAAACCTGAACCACCTTCATGTGATGACAGTGACAATGAAAGACGTTCACGTGAGATGCATCAGAAATCATATAAAACTACTTCTCAGCATAATCAACGACAGAGAAGTTCATCTAGTGAGAGTGACAGAGCTAACTATATTAAGTTTATTCATAGGGAAAGAAGAACAGACAGTGATAGTTATAGAGAGGAAAAGAGTAGAAAAAGTGATGAATTGGGTGGAGACAGACATCAAGATTCTAGAATCATGAAAGAAAATATTGAAATGGAAAATAGAAGTAGGGAAAGGGAAGAAAGGAGAAGTAGGGAAAGGGACAATGGGAGAAATAGGGAAAATAGAAGTAGGGAAAGGAAAGAAAGGAGAAGTAGGGAAAGAGAGAATGGAAGAAGAAGGGAAAATAGAAGTAGGGAAAGGGAAGAAAGGAGAAGTAGGGAAAGAGAGAATGGAAGAAGACGGGAAAATAGAAGTAGGGAAAGGGAGAGTATGAGAAGTAGAAAAAGCTGGGAAAGGGAAAATAGAAGAAATAGGGAAATAGGAAATAGTTCTAGAAAAGAACGTGATGGTAGTTCCAGTAGAAGTCGAGAAAGGGACAGTTACTCTAAAAGGAGATAAAAATGAATGGTAGTTTTTCAGAATCACTTAGATTTAATTTATTTTTATGTCATTGTCTGATAATGACATAAGTATTTCTGTGTCCTAATTTCAGTGAAAGTCTTATGCCCTTGAGTTTTAATGAATCCTCATTATTCCAGTGAATGTTCTGTTTATGAGTTCAGATACTCCAGGAAGCTGCTGGATGAGAGGATTCACTGAAAATATTTTTTTTAAATATCCTTTTTTATTTTTTTGATCCTTGTATATTATTGAAATAATTATTGTGATGCTATAAGTTCTGTTATATTCTAACTTTTACACAGTTTGTAACACCAAGACCATCTTCACAATACTATGCTATTAGGAACTTTGTACTTATAATAGTCACTATTCTTGTATCAAAGGGACTATTGCAGTCAAGGTAGAAGTACGAAGTTCCTAATAGCTTCACATGGTGTAGATGGACTTAACCATCAATGTGTATGAATATATCATAAACGGACTCTCTCATCTTGTCCGCTGCGAATTGTCAATCTCTCATGATTAAGGTGCTGTTTTATAATTTGTCAATAAATTTGTTTTATAAGTCATTATTTAATACTATAGAGGAAATTAGACCTCCCCATAGACTTGTGGACCTTTAATGGCCATGGTGATTTGGGTAAAAAATATATGTTAATAGTTTTCAGAACTTCATTTTACTTGAATTGCCTTCAAATATACCTCAAACTAGCAATATTACCTTCTATTTAGAAATATGTATTTTCTAGTGGAGTATCAAGAAAAGACGAGTCGTCATTTTTACTTTCAAACGTGCACATACGCATTTAAAGGCTAAAAATTTCTTCTCAACAGGGGAGGAATTGAAAGACCCCGTGGAGGAAGTGGGGAGGAATCATCGGACTGGAGAGGAATGGGGGGCAAGTTGATCTACGGCTGAAATTGAAGTTATTGACCATGATAAACAGAAAAAGGCTATGATTAAAATATGGGAATTTAAACTATGCTTTATCATTATGTTTAATCATATTATCTCATATACAGACAACCAGTGACGCCCGTCCCATACATTCACTGATTTATTGATAGTACCGTTGATAACTCACTTCTCTGGAATAGTAAAGACCAGTTTATAATCCACTAAACGGAAGAGCTAAGCGAAGCTTCGATTCGCTACACAATCCTCAGCTGCCCGAAGTCAAGTTTTCGAATGTTGAGCGACGCCACTTTGTTTCGTCTTCCTTTTGTCTCTAAAGATGCGGACACACGAAGGGTCTTGGTCGGAGACTTTTGTCGCCGATTAGAGTCTTGTCTTGAGTTTCACGGGCACGGGCACGGGCACACAAGGAGACAAAAATCTCAAGTCGGTCGTTTTCCACCTTGTCAGTAATCACGTGCGAAGCATGCAATTGAAAAGAAAATCAATCTGTTTGGATGATGACGGTCTGTCTTTCAGACGATAAAACTATCAGAGACAATTATCAAACTTGTTTGACATAATAAATCCTTTCGGTGGCGCGATATTTTTTTTCAAGACGAATCGGCGACAGAAATGTCAGACAAAGACCAATCGTTCCAGCACTTTATTTATTTGCAAAGACCATAGCGATGCGATGAAGTAGGATAATATTCTTCGCTTAGCTGAGCTTTGAAGCTTGCTCGCTCAAAGAAAAACCAGCGCTTCACTTGGTAGAGTATAAAGCGGTCTTTTTAAAACGTGATGCTAACCAGTGTGCATCAAGCTTGAAAGCGTGACCTGATGGCTAGGAACAAAACATCAAGTTGAATTTGAGGGACGATAAATCTAATGGCCCCTGTTAAATCTTTGATGCCACAGGGACTGCAGGGAGTTCGAAATAGCGCTCATACCATTCACTTAGTTATTAAAGATAACGCAGTATATATTACCACTTCCTCGATAAAACTAAGATAAACAGAATAAATAAATTTAATTACACCGATATAAAGCCAATAAAGATAAAAATAATAATAGATTCTGGCTTGTGGAGGAACCACTACCGTTTCCCGATGTATCACTAGAAACATCTTTGGTGGCTGTTGACGGAATCGTTTTCTCTTGCGTTTCAGACGAAGAACTATCCTGCGACCCAGTACTTTTTTCTGGGGTCAGTGTAGATGACGGTTCTTGAAGTGGCTCTTTCGTTGTGCTAATCATTCGCTGAATAGGTGCTTTCTTAGTAGTTGTTGGGGACGGCGTTGTTGTCGTGGACGGCAGTTTGGTCGTTGGTTTTACAGTTGTTGTTGATGTGGTTGTTGGTGGTTTTGTGGTAGACGATCTTGTTGTTGGCTGTGGCGTGGTAGTAGACGTAGTCGTGGATTGTGGCGTCGTTGTTGTAGGTTGTGTCGTCGTTGGTGGTGGGATCGTGGTGGTTGTTGCTTGTGTAGATGTTGTTGGCGATAATGTAGTCGTAGGTCGTGAGGTTGTTGTAGGACTCGATGTGGATGTTGACGCAGTTGTCGTTGCGGTTGATGTTGTGATTGGTCTTTGAGTTGTTGTATCTGTAAAATATATTGATTACGTGGTGCACAATATTGATTTAATTATCCTCATTAGAGTTGAAAATTGTATTGTGTGAAATTGTATTGATTATTTGCAGAGTATTTGATTCCGTTCATTAACTTACCTTGTGATCGGGCAGCTGGTAGAAATGGAATCTCATTAGATTCAAGAGGTCCCCAAAACGTACTGTAATCTTTTAAAACTGTCCCTCTGGAAATAAATGCAAGTCAGTTTATGTTGTTATTAAGACAGATTAAATTGAATATCAAGTCTAATTCTATTCTACCAGGATGATATAGATCACTTTTCATCAATACTGAAATTTTTAAACTAAGGGGACGAAATTCACAATCTATTAGAAATTCTGCAATGCAGGCATAAGCTATAACGTCATACATGAATGTTATTCCATTGTGAATTGGATTAGCACTGTATCTGTATTGATATATTGAATCAAAACCCATCACATGCATACACATTCAAGTAGTTAACTAATTATAAGAATGGCCAAATGACAAAGTGTAAATTAAGTCAAGTTTTATAATAAACCCCCTATCAATCAAACCTTGACTGAAGAAGCAATAATGTCTACTCATGATGTCATCATATTCATCATTCCTGTATATGCTCGAGGCAGTTTATCTCATCCCGTATTTGTTCTCGCTCTGAATTATTGACTGCTTGGTAGAGAGAACCAAAAAAAATATAGAATTTCCTTTTTTTTCTTATTACCTCATTTTGAAGTATAACTCTAGAAAATAAAACTTACGTCAAAATCAAATTTCCAACATCTTCTTGTGGCGCAATCCATTTGTTTCTGAGAGTCGTATTAGGAAACATATGACTATTGGAATGAGTTATTGAATTATTCTGGCCATTACAAGAGACGATTCGGGATCCTTTCGGTGATGCAATGAATTGCCCAACTATCATATCGTTATCAACCCGTCTCACTTGAAGTAACCATCCATTAAAGGGTGAGGCCTCTGACACAATGGCAACTGAAATTAGTAAGCACTTCATATATTAGATTTGTGAGTAATATGAATAATATGAGTGGTGTAAGTAATGTGAGTACAAGGAGTTGGGTGAGATATATGAGTTATGTGAGTAACTGGAGTGAGGTGAATAATATAAATGGAGTAATATAAGTTATAAGTCATGTGAGTAATATTAGTGTTAAGAGTTACGTGAGTAATGTGAGTGAACATGAGTAATGTGAGTAATATTAGTGTTAAGAGTTACGTGAGAAATGTGAGTGAACATGAGTAATGTGAGTAATACAAGTGATGTGAGATTGTGAGTGATGATATGAAATATAAGTGGTAAGAGATATGTGATTTGTGGGAATAATATGAGTTATATGCGTTATACAATGAGTCATGTGCAATATCTGAGTGATGTGTTTATTATGAGTGATCTGGGTTTTATGTTTTATATGAACGATATTACTTATGTGTGTTATACAAGTGATGTGAGTATTATGGGTTGTGTGAGTTTTTATAGTTGTGTGAGAACTATGAGCAATGGGCTATGTGAGTAATACATTAAGTGAGTTATATGAATCATGTACGTAATATGAGCTATGTAAATAATACGAGTTATTTGAATAATATGGGTTATGTTAGTAATAATATATGTATTATGTGATTAATAAAAGCAATATGAGTTATTTGAGTGAATACTGCCATGTGAGTATGTTGAGTCATACAGTCATGTAAGTAGCATGAGATAAGTGAATAATATGAGACTTGTGAGTAAAACAAAAACTGTGGGCTATATAAAATGTGAGTAATATAGGTTTTGGGATTAGTACGAGAGTAATATAAGTTGTGTGAGTAATACAAGTTGTGCGAGTAATATAAGTGGTGTGAGTACTATGAGTGAAGTAATATGTGATGTAATACGGGTAATATGATTGATATCAGTAATATGGGTAATTTAAGTAATACGATTGACGTAAAAGAGGTGATGTGAGTAATATATTATGTGAGGGCGTAGTATAAGTGTTAAGAGCAATATAATTGATATGAGTTATGTGAGTAAGATAAATGAAGTATTTAAGTTTAGTATCTCAGTAATAAGGGTTCTGTGTACGATAGTGTAAGTAGTATAGGTGATGTGAGTAATATTAGTTATGTCAGTAATAAGTGAGATGGTAATGTTAGTAATGTAACATGAGTATTGTGAGTGGTATGAGTTTTGTGAGTTATGTGGATGCATTATGACATGAGTATAATGGATAAATAACATTAAATGTGAGTAATTGACTGGTTATGAGTAAATATGATGGTTAGTAGTGTGCGTTATATAAATAAAGTGAGTAATGTTAATAATTGTGTGTACCATGGATGATTGAAATGGTTGATGTTAATAATATGCGAGAGTGAGTAATATTAGAAAGTAAATATAGTGTGTATGATTTGGGTATAATATTATAAGTACGAGTAATGTGAATAATTCGAGTGATTTAAGTCGAACGAGAGTCTTTACAAGATATAATATAATACGCATTTCCCTTTTCTTACTTTATCGATGCTTTTTGGGGGTTCTCAACCCATTTACCTATAATGGCTGAATGTCTATCGGCTATGGAAAAAAACCTGTGGATTAAGTTAAAAAGAGTAGAATGAATTTAAAATCCACTTCCGTTTCATGTCAGAGGCTTAAATATGGGTAATTTGACATTTAGTTATAAAACTTTAAACAAAGTTATGAAGTCACTTCAAAGAAAAATTGTAATAAATCTCCGTTATTTTTTCCCTTTTTATGGGTTATTTTATGTCCAGTGTTGTATAATTTCTCTTTTTATTGTGACAACCTTTTTCTCCTGAAATAACATTAGGATGCTCCGAGAGTGTCAGAACTGACTCATATTAAATCTTGCCAATTTTTCATTTTCGTACCTGTTTTTTTTCTCTTTTTTGACGTAACCTTTGAATTCAACAATGTGTTTGGAACTGAAAAACAATACATAGGACTTCAACTGGTTTCAATCTTACCTTCCATCTCCTGACTGGGGCTGTATGTAGCCGATGATAACACCAATTTAAAGGGGCTCGGTGAAATCTGAGCCTCAAAAGGTGGATATCCATGTTTTGGCAGAAGAAAGACACAAGCAGAGGACGGAGCTCCACCTGGGTACCCTAAAACTCCTTGTAGTCCGAGGCACACTATTACAAATATCGCTGTATACATTACTATAGTCTGATTACAGAAAGACGGTAATGGTCGTAATATCAAATAAATATTATATGTATAAACACTTTTTCAATTATTAAACAGTTTTAAGCTTTTCCTTCACCAGTTATAAGCTCTCCTCCCAGTGGTATTTTACTTGATTATTTTCGTTTGAATTAGTTTTAATATACACCTAGGTTTTTGTTGTCACTTTTACTGTATAATAGGTGAATAAATGTCCGTTTTTGCACGATTAAATCCAACAATTTTTACATCCGAGGTTTTTGAGTACATGTACGTTTGTTTTTCTATCTCAGTTTATGAATTTCAAACAACTTTATACTCAAAATCCTCTTTCAAAATAATCAATGAAGTTTACAGAAAATAACGGTTATCCTTCAAATCATCCAAATTTCTTTATCGGGTATATTCTGTCCGTTTAGAGAAGCTGGTATTTCCTTTCGTACTTTCACATAAATTTCACAATTTTTAAGAAATCTGTTAAATTTGACTTGTTTTACCTGTGACAGGTGTAAAAATACTGCATGATTAGCATCCAGTACCTCGTGGTTAAAAAGAAAATCCACGAAGCGTGACGAGATGATGACGGTTTAGGTTGACAATGACAAATATCTGTTGTAAATTTATTGTTCTGGGCGGATCTCGATTTTAAATTCGTTATCGTTAAAGGTTGCATGACAGCGAGTTTAATAACGATATCTACCGGCAACTCATAATGAATGAACACCTTGCTACCTCGGATATTAGTTGAGTTCTGGGGTTTTGATAAATCTTTTAGTTCCTTGGGCCCTACATATTCAAAATAAGGTTATATCACCACAGCACAAATTGTAAACAGCTTTGGTATCAGTTAAAGATGGGTTCCAAGAATACCGGTTTGTCTCACATGTCCATTATTAATTCATGATTAGCTAAATTAGAAGAGAATTATCAGCAGAATTCCAATAAGTGACCTATCAAGAAAGGTCAAAAAATTTTTTTTTTTTTTATCCCGACTGTAATTAAATGGACATTTATGATTTGTTAAAACTCTTAATTATATGCAATGCGATCATAATGATATGATTAAAAATACATGATAATTCATTAGAAACACCAATTAATCAAATAGTTTGCTTAATTTGACACTAAAAAAATAGGGAAACCCATCTTTAAGTATATGTAATTATCCGTTCTGCTTCCCCTAGCTGAAAATTCACCCCGCGCATCTCTGCACCTCGTGAAATTGTCAATAAAGTTTAATACAGTGAAGGTTGTCACTGAATAATGACTTCCTTCTCTCTCAACCCTCAACATCTTAATCTCTCTATAGGATTAAGGACCGAGCTATTGTGATGGACAAAATACATCAGACAGTCGAGGGTGCAAGCTATTGAAAGATTTCAATTTCAATGAGTCAATGCATGCATCTATTGACACCTAGAGAATGTACAAAATTTTAGCTGTGCCCAATCTATAAAGACGTGACCATATGGTATTCAAATTAACTACCGAATTACCATCGTATGATATTTACCATGATGGGAATTTTTTGGTATCGATGTTAAGAATCTGATGCTTCGTGACCTTGAGTCATACTGTAAGTTCAATGTTAGGTCATTAGTCAATCATCACTAGGAAATACGGTCATAGGAATCGGTGATATTTTGTCTTATACATTTTCTTATTATATTAATTTATTTCTATGAGACCAAAACGTTGAACATGTTAATAAAGTGAAATGGAGTTCAGCTGCTACGGCTAAGAATCCCACCATCTAACCCAGGTGTCCCTTACAACACCATTATCCTCCGCAAGCCTTGAATTTCAATGATCGTAAAGTTTTATGGTTCGAATTTAAATCTACAATTCAAAGTCAAAATGCTAATGATGGGTTGTAAATGCTGAGCTTGTTTCACGAGGAAAGGGTTAATATACCAGTGATACGGTCATTGGGGTTAATAAAACTCATTTATTAGTAAACAATTGAATAAATAAACATAGAGCTCTAGACGAAAGTTTGAAATCGCCTTTAAAATATCCACCCCATTAACCCTAAATGTCAGAAATAGGCTTTAATCGACCATATGACGTCATGGTCATATCAATGGTGGTTGATTCCACAGTTTCTGGAGTATAAAACAATACTATGATAGCAGTACATGTATTTATTTTTCGGAAAAAAATGAAAAAAAGGCGAAAGAACCCCACTACATTAGCCCAAAATAACATCAAAGAAAAATCAAATCGATCGTGTATCGAGAATTGAGGTGATTCTAAGTTTTGGTTATGGCACATTATATTAGCCTATTATAAGATACCCCGGAACTCGAAATTATGTAAGGTAGGTTAGACCTCAACAAGAACTAAACATATAGACAATTGATTAATTAGTTGTCTTCAAGGTACCTGTAACAAATGTTTGAATCCCCAAAGTTTATTTTGAGATCCTGCATACCACATCTGACAGAGTGCAACCATCTGCACTAAGAAAAAACAACGACATATTTACGATTTTTCAATGATTGATTAGAATAGTTTAAAAACAACCTATTTCATCAATACATCATTGTCAGTGTATATTGTAATATTTATAATTGAGGGTGGGACATTTTGTATACAGACAATAGCCTGAGGGACCTGTGTCATTAATCCTCCGACATCCTTCGACAGTTCATTTTGAGACTTGATATTGAAAAATATTTGTTCATGACGCTGTCTGCCAAAAAAGTGTTCTTATCAGGTAGCCTATGATGAAACAAAACAAAAAAATGTTTTGTCATTTTTCAATATGAATTTTTTTGACTATAACTATCGTATGATAACAAATGTCATGAACACGTATTTCTCAATTCGAGAGTGTCAAGTCTCAAAATGACTGTCGAAGGGTGTCGGAGGAAAAAAGACACCACCGAGCCGGGATAGACTCGTCACATTACTGAGAACCTAGGTTCAACGATATACCTATATCTTACAAAACAAGAATCATTATTTGATTTTCACGAAGAAGCATAAACAAACACAAAACTTTAACAATAGGCTTACCATTTAGAATATTCTTCCAATTAGTAATACTAGGCCTATTTAACAATAGAACAAGGAGGGTAACAAGGCGCTTTTGAACAATCTCCAGGTGGGAGATCCTGAAAGGAGTAATAGAAACAACAGACTATAATAATAACAAAGTGGCTTTTAAAGAGATTCCGTGGTCCGGACTGCTATTTGACAGAGATTGTAGCAGAATATGCTATTTCATGTTAGTAATAACGTAGTGTATCATATTGCAATGAAAAAAGGGTAAATTTATTTACATCAGTTGATGTAGTGTTTATTAATAAAATAACCATAAGGAAATGTTGAATGAAAAATATTTTCCATAAAAAACGCCACGGGATATAATCGGTTGGTACAATGCTTCGATTGTTTGAGATCGAGAATACATCCTCTACTTATTGTTACAATATAAAATATATGTTCTGTCATGTCGGAGGTTGATTGATGACATTTTCTTCTTATTACTTCATATCCTTAGGCAACCGTATCATATAAACTGGCGATATAATGAATAAGGCATAGGCTACACTTGAAAATATTGCTAGATTTACCGATTAGAAAGAAAAACGTTGAGTTATTTTTTCAATGTTCAGAATTAACCAACAAAGAAAGATCTATGACTCTATGATCTTTCTCCCTCTGACTTCTGCATCATAGAACTATGTTCAGCAAGTGTGAATGTACAATTTTCCAGAAAAATTACCACGTGACAATCATGTGGTCAGAAAGTCATGTGATTTTCATAGTAACGGAAGTGGCAACATAAACAAGATGGCCGACCAAAACATTAATTGAAAAACAGTTTTATAGGTTTTGGAGAAAATTGACGTAATCTACAATTATATTTTCTTTTAGTGTTCATGAATAAGTAAAATACAAATATCTTCACGGCTGTTGTCAATAAACTTTGATAATGGCGGCGGTAGAAGCGAAGCCAGAAGCATTATCAAGAGGCCAAACCACTATTTCTGTTGAAAAACCAAGAATTCCTCTGGTTACTCACATTATAACTGATGATGATATTGGCCTACTTCAGGTAAAACATATTTCAGCTGTAATTGAAAGAAAAACTTGTCTGTGTGTTTATATTATTTACTAAATTACAAGTAATAGAGTCAGTAAAAAAATTTGTAACCGTCGATTCAAAGTTTACATGTAAATCATTTAATTGTCATGTCTAAACTAGGCCCAAGAGTAATAGAAGGCTCACATAAAGTGGCTCTTATTGTTGTATAAAAGATCATATAGAAGATCATACAGGCACATTTAGCTTTAAAGATTCATTACTAGGGCATTGTGAAAAGGTTTTCTAACTTTTTGCACCATTCTGATTTTCGATCAGACATCTGTGGTTCCTGCAATTTCCACTAAAACTAAGTGTTTAGTTTGATGACTTCACTAATCACATAAGGCCCTTTGCGATTAGTAACGTCTACAAGCACTTGATTTCAGTGTTATAGCAGGAACCATAAAGGTCTGATTGAAAATTAGAAGAGTCTAAATTGATTCAGTGACACTGTCTCTGATGCACAATTTTAAAAAACCTCTTCACAATCCCTTTTAGTAAAGAATTGCTCTGATCATTTTTTTTGTACCACTACTGTAGCCATACCTCTGAATTCAACACTTTATTATCAATTTTTGTAATTATGTTGATTGTTCTATAAATGTTTTTCAGGGCTCAAAAATGCAGCCAGTTAATTTGGGTCGAGTTATCAAACTACTCACAGATCCCCATTCAGTAAGTATGAGAAATTTTAAAGAAGTCTTATAACATATTTAATGAAATAAGAGATAAGCTATGGTTTCAAGGCAATTCTTCTAAACACACAATTTCACTAATTTTCTTTTGTCTTTCATTTTTCAGGCTATGTTGTATGACAGACATCAAAATTCTTTACAAAGATTAATCCGCCATTATCAACATGGCTTTGTATCCTTTTTCAAATCATGAATCACCAGCATTCTTTTTATCATGAGAGGTTACCTACCAATAACTGTACCAATGAAGTTTTAATTTTTAATGATCAAGTCAATGTTTTATGTTCTATGAATGATAAACCCTAGATTGATTGATTTTGTGCTACGGGTACAACACAATATTCACTTATTCACATTTTCATTTTCTATGAAAAAATATTGACTATAACAGTTGTCTATATGATGATAAATAGATAAGCTTATTAAGAAGATGTTTATGATGTGGAATGTATGGTTTGATTAATAAATAGTGTATCGTTTTACATCTTCAAATAAAATGTTCTTAACTGTTATACCAGCCAATGAAAGATTTAGTATTAGTTTATAAATTACTGAATATCTGTGCTGATCGTGTTGAACTACATCCTATGTATGAAGAACCACTAATAGAAATAATTAAAATCTGTAGTTTACCTTATTTAAAAGAGAAAACCTCAGATGAAATAGTATATCAACAGATTGTTATAGAATCTATTTCTCAACTTGGTAAGTTTTATTTACTGTATTTTGAAGAGATAAAATATAGTATTTGTTTTTCTTCAATATCATTTGTAGGTCTGCTAGTTAAAAGGAGTAAAAATATTGCAACATAAGCTGTATCCAGGTACTCAGTAATGATGTGATGACTGTTTATTATTACAGGTTATTTAATGAGGGTACTCAGTAATGATGTGATGACTGTTTATTATTACAGGTTATTTGATGAGGGTACACAGTAATGATGTGATGACTGTTTATTATTACAGGTTATTTAATGAAGGTACTCAGTAATGATGTGATGACTGTTTATTATTACAGGTTATTTGATGAGGGTACTCAGTAATGATGTGATGACTGTTTATTATTACAGGTTATTTAATGAGGGTACCCAGTAATGATGTGATGACTGTTTATTATTACAGGTTATTTGATGAGGGTACTCAGTAATGATGTGATGACTGTTTATTATTACGGGTTATTTAATGAGGGTACACAGTAATGATGTGATGACTGTTTATTATTACAGGTTATTTAATGAGGGTACACAGTAATGATGTGATGACTGTTTATTATTACAGGTTATTTGATGAGGGTACTCAGTAATGATGTGATGACTGTTTATTATTACGGGTTATTTAATGAGGGTACACAGTAATGATGTGATGACTGTTTATTATTACAGGTTATTTAATGAGGGTACACAGTAATGATGTGATGACTGTTTATTATTACAGGTTATTTAATGAGGGTACACAGTAATGATGTGATGACTGTTTATTATTACAGGTTATTTAATGAGGGAACACAGTAATGATGTGATGACTGTTTATTATTACAGGTTATTTAATGAGGGTACCTAGTAATGATGTGATGACTGTTTATTATTACAGGTTATTTAATGAGGGTACCCAGTAATGAAGTAAGAAAACAGATTTGTTCAACATTAATAACATTTCATACAGCAGAACAAAAAATACAAAAAGTCCAAAGTAAGAAAGCTTTGTTTTTTAAATGCATGAAGACAATAAGTTAACACATTTAAATCCTCTGCACACTGAAATCTTTTACTAATGAATTAATTACATAATTAAGAGTTTTAACCAATCATAAATGTCCATGTATGTACAGTTTGGATAACAAAAAAAAAAAAGAATTTTTGACATTTCTTGATTGGCCACTCATTGGAATTCTGCTGGTATTTCTCTTCTCTTCTTAATTTTGGACATGTGAGACAAACTGGTATTTTTCCAAGTCATTAGAACGCCTTTACTCTCTATTCATATACATATTAGCATTTTCATTTCCATAAATGAAAATAAGGGAATGCATCTTTAAAGGATGTCTAGATGTAGACAAAATTATTAATCTGAAACTGTTGGACTTGTTATTGTTATTCTATTACCTTTATCAGCATATGTGGATTGGAAAATCTGGAATATATTTATTAAAGTATTATGTATTATTACAATTTATATATCAGCTTAGGGAAAATAATACCTGAAATAAGCGGCTATCTGAAATGTTTGATTTATTTTTAGAATTTAAATCTACCAGTAAAGAATATAATCGTAAAGTGATAGAAAATAGTGACGTGTCTGAAACTTTAATCAAGGTGAGCTTTTTTTTACAGGCTTCTATGTGAACATGATTTAATTCAACAATTCTTTGGTTTTTTTATCAGTGCTTTGAGTAATATTGATTTAAGCTGATAAAATTGAAGGTATCTATAACATAGACTATCTGTTTTAGAACAAACGCTAGATTTCAAATTGTTATTGTATATAAAAATAATTCTGAGCTGATGTGTTAATTGATGTATGAGATTTCAAATCAAAATGACCTTTGCATCGTTTGTAGTCTCTGGCGTTGATGGAAAATGATTATGAAGTAAGATTATTAGTTTTAGATGTTTTACAAACATTCTCCAAAGATTCAGGTTAGTGAAAAATTATCTTGGGTCAGGGCCATAACATCTCAGCTTTGACCAGGCCACTGTCAGGCAGCTCTCATAGTTTATGACAAATTTGTGTTCAGCAGAATGAGAACAATTGGAGGAAAAACATTGAAACTGATAATGATGTCAACAAACCTCAAAAGCTTTGTTGTGAACTATGGTTAAGACTAAAGTGGGTTTCTCATTAAGGTGACCGCATTTGAGAATAGATTTTGATTTAAATATTTTAGAGAAGAATTGTAATCAGATATTATTAGCAGAAGGTGCTATGAGAATATGTTCAAGATTAATGGATGCTGATCCTACTGGACACCTATTATTCCAATCAGTAGAAATCTTGTGGAATTTATTAGAAAATGGAGATGTAGCTAATTTGGCTGCTCAGTTGAATAATGTACAATGTATAAGGTAAGTTTCTTATTCTATATTTCAATTAAAACAGTTCAAACCAACCATAAAATGAAATCAATTGTTGGTTTGCTGGGCCCCGTTCCACTAAAGTGCATAAGTTTACGCAAAATATTTTTTCGTAAGTTAATCTTACGCAAAAACTTACGCCTGTTTCACTAAAGGACTTACGATCTTTCTTTCGTAAGATAATTTGAGGACGTTTCGTACATGAGGTCGTGTCTCGCGTCACATGATTTGTGATAGCATTAGCAGACTACAAAATGGCGTCCTACAACGGAGTAGGCCTACCTTGTGGCGGTGTTACTTCTTCACAACCTAGTAACCCGAATTTCACTTCTTTAGAAGTTGAAATTTTGGTTGACGAGGTGGTGAAGAAGTACGGGATCTCTTATCATGAAAAAGTCAAGGAATGGGAGAAGGTGGCTTCGGCAGTGTCAGCTGTCGGAGCCACTTCTGCCACTGGCCTAGTCTAGATTATGTAGTTATATGTATAATGTAAATTATCACCGAATGCCATCCGAATTTTTCTTACTTTCTATACTAGTTTAGTAGTTTCAGCCCACTTATTGATTAGGGGTGGAGAGACACAGAAATAATTGACAATTATCATGAGCATTAAACTTTAAATGATTAGGCTAATGTTCTGAAAAAGACTAGATTCAGTTCGGAAGCCTTATATCTTAGGATGGCCTGCAAAAGTAAAAAAACTTATTTCCAGTGGTGTCTTTTATAAAAGAGACTATCAGCTCACATCAAGCTTGCCAAGAATGATAAAAATCATTATCACAGACTTGTATCACTTATAAATAAGGCTTAGAAGATCATAAAAATTAATGTTTAGCTCACTTGTATTTCTGGCGAAACTGCGCGTGATCTTCCAGATTTAGAGAGATCTTCTCGAAAATCATCAACCAACGTTTTCGCGACATCTTTGGTTAACCGATAACGTTTCTTAAAATCCACATCATCCAAACGTATCAAATTATTCATCCTCGGATGAAAAACTCTTTCTCTCGGCCTACGCAGTCCGAACAACAGGTGTTTTGCCATTTTGACTTTGACGTTGCTATGGACATTACATTAGTTACGTCAACTTACGACAGTCAAACTTTTTTGTGTAAGTTTCTTAGTGAAACGGAAAATTTTGTTCTTTTGTCTTTCGTAAGATAAACTTACGCAAAATTTAAGCATAAGAATGTTAGTGGAACGGGGCCCTGGTCATTAGGGCTAACTTTGCAAAGGAATCTTTTCATTTGGGACAATGAAGGCCTGCGTGCTATGGCCTTGATATTTTGAAAGAGTCACCTAAAGCCTGGCAAAATGGCTCTCATTTAACACTGCAAAGCATTGACAGTCTTTGTAAGCCCAATTGAGAAAAATATATACTTTATTTTAAAGCATATTTTAATTTTCAGTCAATTGCGAGATGGGTTTGTTTATCAACTAACTATGGGATATAGTCATTATGATAGACAGTTAAGAAATGATTTATTAACCATAGCAACTCTTGTTGTTACCAAATGTCCAGAGTCACCCTTTGTAGAATGTGGTTTTGCCAGACAGCTGGTTTTATTTGGTACATTTCAAGAAGGTATGCCTTTAATTTTGACATATTCTTGTAAAATGATGATTATTGAAACTGTTTCTAGTGTTTACATAGTATTACATATTAATGTATTAACTTTTAAGTGGCAGTGAGATAGTCCATAGTGATTTGTATGTCGTCAGTTAGGCAAACGAATCCATGTGTGCAAGCCCCCCTCAAGGTTGAAATAATTCTGATGCTGGTGTTTTCAGATTCATGATTTTCTAATTGCCATTTTATTTTCAGTAAAAAGTCACAATATTTTAGTCAAACATCTAAAGTTAATGACCAACCAGGAAGATTTTGAATTAAAGAAATTATTAATGAATGTATTAGTTAAGATGTCAGCTGATAGTACTATGATACCCGTAAGTCAAATTTAACGTAATATAAGTTTTTCCCTCAGGATTTTTACTTCTACTTAACTGTTTATGATATATGTCAATAAATTTGTTATACTTATTGATCATAGATTAAATCTGTTTCAAGATTGTAAAATAATTACTTAGTAAAATAGTTTACATTTTTTGATTAATTTGCTTGTAGATGTTGGCCTATTCTTTTTAATTGATATATTATAATTTTAGATAATGTCTGATGGTCATCTATTATTGGCATTATTTTCTTTTGTTCGTGGAAATGAGAAATCTAGTGGACCTAGAGAATGGACACCAGCTCAGTTTGAAGAGTTACAATTACACGCTATGAGTAGTCTAATAACACTATGTCCAGTTATGATAGAAGACTATATGTTATGTCAGGGCAATACCAGATTGTTACTATTATTAGAATGGTGTATACAATCAGGTAATGTCATTAATCACTTTTATTTAGATAAAGATTGTCAGCCATTTTTATACATACACATGAAATGGGGGGCGTATATTGCCGTCAACTCTTTCCGTCGGTCGGTCTGTCCGTCCACAATTGCTCGTAAACACTCTACAAGGCACAGTTCTTGACTGATTTCGACAAAACTTGGTATGGTTGTTTGTAATCACCCAAGGATGAACCCTATTGAAAATATGACGAATCGAAAAATATTTACTATGAGTTATTGTCCTTGCTCTTGTAACGCTCGTAAACACTCTAGAAGGTGCAATTCATGACGGATTTTGATGAAACTTGGTATGAGTATTCGTTATCGCCCAAGGATAAACCCTATCGAAAATCAGAAAAATTGAAAAATATTTAGCATGAGTTATTGCCCTTGTTCTTGAAAACGCGTTCAATTTTAGCTTGTGAACACTCTAGAAGGCAAAATTATTGATGGATTTTGACAAACTTGGTGTGAGTGTTTATAATCACCCAAGGATAAACCCTATCGAAAATCAGAAAAATTGAAAAATATTAAGTATCAGTTATTGCCCTTGTTCTTGAAATCGCGTTCAATTTTTAGTTCGTAAACACTCTAGAAGGCACAATTCTTAACGGATTTTGACAAAACTTGGCTTGAGTGTTGGTTATCACCAATGGATAAACCGTATTGAAAAACAGAAAAATTGAAAAATATTTAGTATGAGTTATTGCCCTTGTTCTTGAAAACGCGTTCAAATTTTAGCTTGTAAACACTCTAGAAGGGACAATTCTTGACGGATTTTAATGAAATTTGGCTTGAGTGTTGGTTATCACCCAAGGATGAACCCTATTGAAAATCAGAAGAATCTAAAAATATTGAGTATGAGTTATTGCCCTTGATCTTGAAAACTCGTTCAATTTGTAGCTCATAAAAGCTCTAGAAGGCATGATTCTTGGCGAATTTTGACAAAACTTGGTTTTATTATTCATTACCGCGCTGAAGATGGAATATTTGTCTTCTAAAGTTTTCACGAGCTAAAGATTAAACACGTTTTCAAGAACTAGGGCAATAACTCATACTCAATATTATTCAGTATCGCCCTAAAGAGTTCAAATGAAGTGTATGACTGAAGGTTGAAAATTTCATACTGCCAGTGGGCGTATATTACCTTGCCTGGCAAGCTATCTTACTTTTCAATGGAACCATATATCCAGAAATCAAGTTAGCTTAGTTTTGAATGTTAAAAACATAGTACAAAATTGAGCAAGGATCCTCCTGATGATATGATAAGTTTCGGTTCTCAGAACAGTGTTGTATGTATTCTATTTTATTTGCTCACAATGTCTAGAATAAACTGATTTTAAAGTGTTTGTTTTTTGGTATTGTTTAGATGATTTTAGTGGACAAGGTAATAGTTTCCATGGTACTGGTGGACGAGGCAATAAGAAATCTCAGATGTGTCAATGTTTAAGGATAATGCGCAGTGTTGTGTCAACAGAAGATGAGTTGGTTCTACAAGATTTATCAGATCAGGGGGCTATTAATCAACTTATTGGTATGTAGATTAGATAATGAACATTCATCAACATTGTAGTTTGATTGTAGTTCAATTTGAGTTTTATAATATTGGCTCTCTAAAAGTGTATTCTAGGTTATTAGCCTGGCCCTCATTTCTCATAAAATCTTATGAATTTAAATGTGTAGTAATCATTGTAGCTATTTAAAAATGGATAGGAGCAACTCCTAACTGTGACAATATCACATCTGTATATCAAGTCCAAGGAACAGGTAGAGGCAGATTTGTTGAGCTAATCAATTTTGTGTAATATTGCATAAGACTGAAGAGAATCCTCAATGTAAAATTCCTCAAGGCTTCTTTGGCCTTTATTTAACAGTACTTGACTGGTTACTTAAGCACTTACAGTTCTATCTTACAAGCTGTCAAAAAAGATGTATACCTTTACAGGAATATTGAAGAAAGTGTTTGCTGTACCTATAGCCAAGTATACAGCTATAGATATAGAGATGCAGACAGATATATTAATTATTTTATCATCATTGTGTGATGGAGATATACATAGAAAGGTACATAACTCTAAATCTTTACACCTAAATCTTTTGTCAGTATGAACAAATTTTATTACTTTATAATATAGTGGCAAACAAACAAACTGCTTCTATGGAAGTTTACCAGATGAAATTATTAATTTTTTAACTTTTATTTTTGTAGGAATTGTTTGGAAGGAATGGAGTAGATGTAGTGATGAATTATTTACAAACTGATGCCAAATTATTAAACAGTGGTCTAGGTCATCATAAATTATTTTTAGCTGCTGTTGATACAGCTTGGTAAGATGCTTTCCACTCTTGATATTGTTACTTAATTTAGTGATATAATCATACTAGATGTTTCATTTGATAATACCTCTCATAATAATGCTTGATATATAAAATCCCTTTGATGATATATCTTACAATAATGCATGATTGGTATTTCTTATGGTAATATTTATTCAAATGATATATTGTTTGTCTTAGGATAATTCTATAATACATGATATTTTTTATAGTAGGGCCTACTATTTCTTAAATACACAACAATATTCTGTAATCATACATGATAGTTTTTATGATAATCGTATATACTAATAACATTTTGAATAATAAAACCGGTTACTTTTCTTTTTTATAAATTTAAGTAATGTTTTTCGTATTAATAGATATATTTTATGATGAAGCATTATGTTTCTTGAAATATTATCCATGATATTCTTCATACTTCTTATAAAACTATGAGATATTTTGGTAATAGTTGTACATGATAATATAACATATAAAAAAACATAATATATCATATACTAATACATTATATTTTTAGGTGTGCTATTGTGGGGTGTACTTTAACAGATGATTATTTCTTAGAAAGAAGTGGAGTATTTCATCTTATTGATCTATTAGAGGTTTGTACAACTTTATAATTTTTCCATTCTATTTTTGTTTTGATTTATCTTATGCATAAAACATCTTATACATACATCTTTCAATTTATCTTATACATATAACATCATATATATACATACATTTCCTAATTTATCTTATACATATAACATCATGCATACATACATTTCCTATACATTTCCTAATTTATCTTATACATATAACATCATATATATTCATACATTTCCTAATTTATCTTATACATATAACATCATATATATACATACATTTCCTAATTTATCTTATACATATAACATCATGCATACATACATTTCCTAATTTATCTTATACATATAACATCATATATATACATACATTTCCTAATCTATCTTATACATATAACATCATATATATACATACATTTCCTAATTTATCTTATACATATAACATCATATATATACATACATTTCCTAATTTATCTTATACATATAACATCATATATATACATACATTTCCTAATTTATCTTATACATATAACATCATATATATACATACATTTTCTAATTTATCTTATACATATAACCTCATATATATACATACATTTCCTAATTTATCTTATACATATAACATCATATATATTCATACATTTCCTAATCTATCTTATACATATAACATCATATATATACATACATTTCCAATTATCTTATACATATAACATCATATATATACATACATTTCCTAATCTATCTTATACATATAACATCATATATATACATACATTTCCTAATTTATCTTATACATATAACATCATATATATACATACATTTCCTAATTTATCTTATACATATAACATCATATATATACATACATTTTCTAATTTATCTTATACATATAACATCATATATATACATACATTTCCTAATTTATCTTATACATATAACATCATATATATACATACATTTTCTAATTTATCTTATACATATAACATCATGCATACATACATTTCCTAATTTATCTTATACATATAACATCATATATATACATACATTTCCAATTATCTTATACATATAACATCATATATATACATACATTTCCAATTATCTTATACATATAACATCATATATATACATACATTTCCTAATCTATCTTATACATATAACATCATAATTATATACATTTTCATTTTAATTTCAGCTGGTACCAAAGACAATGTATAATGTTATTATTGGCTGTTTGTTGGACTTGTGTGAAAATCCGAAAACAATGAACCATATTCTAACATGGCGTGGTAGAAATAATATCACGGCACCACATCTATTCTGTGATATCTGGAGACATGAAGATTTATCTATTGGAGCTTGTCGTGATGTAAATGGAGCTATTACAGGTAGGCCTATATATAACAAATAACCATAGAAAGCTGTTGATGTGACAAAATGCTATAAAAAAAAAATAACTTTTAAAGATATTTCTATTTCTATATTCAACTTTAAAGTTACAAGTGTTTGTTGATTATTTTAGACACAAAGAAGCCAATGATGGGTTCAAGACAAATGGAATCTGGAGTTGTCCCCCTTAAAGCCAATTGTCCCAGTCCTGCCATAGTTGAGGTGTTTGAAAATTTACGAGCAAAAATCTTCTCAATATTTGGTAAACTGGGCTTCATGGATCTTCCTGGCCTGACTGTTGAAGATCATGTGACTCTCACCATCATTGAGAAATATCTGGATTTTAAAATGGGAGAGGTTTGGTCAGAAATTATCTGTGAACTGGAAGTTGATAAAATAAAACCTGTTACACCTGATGAGGAAGCTTTAGAAACCATACTTAAAGTTGTGGATGAAAGAACAAATATTGTAGCTGCTACTCAGAGTGAATTATTGGAGGCTCAACAGAATCAAGATGCTATTGAAGAACAAGAGTTTTATGCTGAGGTGAATAATCATTCTATATGTTCATACACAGTCTGGTATCTTATTTGGGAACCCTTTTTCAATATTTATTGTAATGTTCCTGGTTTTTATTCACAGATGTCAATCAATTCAGGAAAACTGTGTTAATCTATTCATATCCTTTCCATGTTAATATTTCTATTTTATTCTACAATGTTTCAGATTCGTGAAAATCACCGGCAACATGAGAATAAAGTGAGGAAATTTACAGAGTATGTTTCTAGAACATCAAATTACGATATTTTAAAGGTTTGTGCTATTTTGTAATAATGTGTCTTGTGAAAGATAGAGGTCAAACTATTAATTACCAATGTTCCAACAAAATTTGAGGAAATTTCATCCAATAGAAAATATGTTTCAAATTTTTGTCTGTCTCATGCATGGTGTCATTAATATTTAGCCCTAGAATATATTGTGTTGTATATTCAATTTTTCAACTGTGTTGAGACTTCATTTTTTGTAATTCTTAAACCTGATTGTTTTTTGTAGGCTGCTAAAGAAAGACAGATTCAATCTATAGAAGGATCCAGAATTTTACCAAAAGATCAGAGGTTTGTAGAATTTAAATTGCATCAAGTGTATCAGTGGGATGTAAGATTACTCTGCAGAACTACAGTTGAAATTGCCTAGCAGGATGCACCACAAGCTACTATTGACTTGAATGAGTGTACATGTATAATGTTTTTTCTTTTAGCATTTTAGCAAGATCATCAAGCTTCCTTCAAAATTCTAAAATTAAAAGGAAAAATTCTTTTTTGTTTCAATTTTGCGGGTTTTATTATTTCAGAGAACAAACATTCCACAATACAGATTTACCTAATCTACATTTAACAGTAAGTCTTGATTTGTTTATTTTTTATTTAATTAGGATATATTTATACCCAACAAAATTTCAATCAGTATGTACAAGATCAGCAATTGGTGAATCACTATTTTGTATCCATGATATTAATTTTAATTTTTTGATTATTCTATTGAAACTATTTTTTTTTACTTCCAGGCTTTCAGTGGTCGTCATGTTGTTGTTGACAGTAGTGACACTCAAGATGTGAGAGGTGCTGATTATTATGATCCACATGTTTTAGAGGTCGTCATACAGCAACAACCACAAACAATGTTTAGAAATTTAACTGTTTAAACAACAACCACAAACAATGTTTAGAAATTTAACTGTTTAAACAACAACCACAAACAATGTTTAGAAATTTAACTGTTTAAACAACAACCACAAACAATGTTTAGAAATTTAACTGTTTAAACAACAACCACAAACAATGTTTAGAAATTTAACTGTTTAAACAACAGCAAGCACAAACAATGTTTAGAAACCTGACTGTTTAGGCATGAAATATTGTTTAGAAACCTGGCAGTTTAAACATGAAAGATATTTAGAAACTTAACAATGTTTAGAAACCTTACTTTTTAAACATGAAACAATAACTGTTCAGCAACAAACATGGCTGTTACAACTCAAAACAATGTTTAGAAACAAGACTGTTGAATCTATTACCACAAGCATTATATTTTGAAAACGTGACTCTGCAAACAACAACCACAAAAATGTTTTAAACCCATAGTTGTAACGACCACAACTATAGAAACTTTGTTGTTTAAATTGAAGAGATTGTATATAGATATATATTTATTTAACATTATGTTTTGTGTTGATATGTATATCTTATTTTTAATGCCCTGTCCTTTCATCTTTATACGCCCACATGAATGTGTTGTCGTATATTGTCATCGCCCCTGTCCGTCGGTCCGTCCGTCAACATTTCTTGTGAGCACTATAGAGACTACAGTTTTCATCTGATTTTGATAAAACTTGGTGTGATGCTTTAGATTGATAAGATCTCAGTCAAGTTCCAATATGACATATTTTCGATGAACGGTTTTTGAGATATTGCCCTTGACTTTGTTAAAACACGTCAAAATTTGTTAAAAATAGTTGGTGAGCAGGATTGAAGCTACAGTTTTCAACCGATTCTGATGAAACTTGGTGTGATCATTGAAATTGATAAGATCTCGGACAAGTTCTAACTTGACGCATTTTCAATGAACGGTTTTTGAGTTATTTCCCTTGACTTATGAAAAACACGTCAAAATTTGTTTGTGAGCACAATAGAAGCTACAGTTTTCAACCGATTTTGATGAAACTTAGTGTTAGGGTGTATTGAGGCGAGTCTCAATGAAAGCACTGGCCTAGGTCATAAAGCAATAGATAAGTCTTAATTATGTGAAAATTAGTATGATTTTAGTTGAAAAGACAAACACACAAACATAACTGCATGTTATATAATATACTGTATATAGCCATGGCACCAGTCCTGAAATAAGTATTCCCTGAAATCTAACTTAGAAATCGGTTAATTTATTGATATAACATGATACATTTATATGAAGAAATCTATGCTCCTAGGATGAATGGACATTGTTCAATGGTTCAAGTCTACCGTGAAAGAGGAAATTGCTAAGATTTTGATTTCTTTTGTAAGCTACAACCAAACGTTTTGTGTATACATGGGGAAATTTGTTCTGAAGTTTCGAGTAATGGCGTTTGACTATTATGGAGGCTTTGGTAGCTGTAGAATCAAATGTCGTTATAAAGGGTATTATCTGGTTATCATGTTGAATGTTAGTGTGATCGTTGGAATTGATAAGATCTTGGACAAGTTCTAACTTGAGATATTTTTGATGAACGTTTTGTTGAGTTAATGCCCTTGACTTTGTAAACACGCGTCAAAAGTTGTTTTTTTGCCCTTGATTAGAGCTGTGTGATTTAATTGTTTGTTGTATTTGGGTTATTGATATTGATTTTAAAAAAACTTTTGTGGAATTATTCAGCATAAATAAGTTATTTAAAATAACTGGCATATATATATATATATATATATAATTGAATTCAAACTAATAAAATTTCTTCAATATGAGAGAATTCGTACTTTAGTCACTATAGACTGTTTTATCATTTCTGCCAGCTGCCAGTGGGCGTATGTTACCTTGCCTCGCAAGCTAACTTTAACTGTTTTCTGTGATATCAATTGTAGATTTTCATTCTCATGTAAATTTTTATTAAAAATATCAAATTATCTTGAAAATTATGATTTTTAATTGCCTGCGAGGAACATATGACGTAAAACTTCATGAAAAAATCATTTTCAATGCCCTGCATTTTGTCCAACTTGATATGTGGATATACTGTGGATTTAAACTCATAGTTATTACATTCATCTTTTGGTGCAGTGATCACATTGTATATGCTTCAGAACTTGTTTGAAACTGCTGGTAAATGAACTGATAATGAACTGAAAGTCTACAGCATACTGCCTTGTTAGTTTTAATTTTTGGTTAATTAAGTGCAGTGCTTTTTATTTAGATTTGACTCAGAAGACTTAGTATGTACAATAGCAGACCTTACCAGTACCAACATCTTGCAACTCATTTTGCAATTGCCTTGTGACTTCTGTTTCTATTGTTAGGGAATTTAATCCCCTGCCTACAAAAGTGGGACATATTTCATGTCATTTATTACCTGCTACAAAAAATCCATAACAGTTTGACTGTCTAAAGTAATGAAAACCAGATATCTAAGTTTAAATGATATATTTAATATAATATTGGCACACATTAATTATAGAATAATAGAATATAAAACAATACATTTTAACAATTTATACTTTTTATCATAAGATTGTTGAAACGCTCTGGATACCCTTGTAGGCCTACATTGGTGTTAATACATTGGCTGCAGAAAATGCATCACGAAGTTATCATATTTTTCACTACCTAAAATGGAGAGCTATGAAGTATGCGGCATTTTTTTAAATATTTATATTTGAATTGCGCCATTGTAATGATATCCAGAGCATTCCATAGATTACAAAATCATTATCCAACAATAAAGTTTATCACATTTCAAATGTCAAATATAATTAACAAGGTTTGTCTGGCCATTTCAAATTTTGCCAAAATTGAATAATTTATTATCGAGAGTGTATATTTGATTTATAAAAAAATCATTTAACCATTGACTCGTGCAAAACTAATACCGAAAGAATTGGCGGCAATTTCAAAACGACCTGCGTTCGAACGTTGCACTTGTCGCAAAACAGTATGAGATCTCATGCGCATCAAGATCGGGTACTGAACAACCCCGATAGACCAATCGTAAAAATCCTAAACGGACAGATGAAAATGAAAATTCACTACATGCCAAACTGAATATAATAATCATAATGGAGCTCACCTCCTTGCGTGTCAAAAAATGCCATCGTTTTGATCTTTAAAATGGTTAAAAACTGATTCATTATTGTGCGGGCATAACACGAAAACGTTCCTTCAAAACTATCTACAGTGTGTACACTTACAAAGCACTATATAAACCTTAAAAAACAAATTTGCACCAAAAACAAGCAATGTATATCAAAATATAAAAAACTGGAGGTGAAGAAAAACGGAATGGGGATCAAAAGGTGGGTTATATATTGCATTACATACCATTCTTTCATTTCAAATATTAACATGTAATACATGACGTTATGTAATATTAACAGATTTTCATACTATAATCACCATACAATTCTAAACCATAATAGCTTTTATTACATTTTACAATCCCATATCACGTGATACATCTGAAAAGCACTAAATATCACAGGATATGATTTAACAATATGCTTTAATCACTAATATCAAGTGAAGCGACAATTATAAGTAAAAATTGAAATGGTCCAATGGAGAGATCACAATGTGTTTGCCAAGATAGAATCGGTATAATAAGGATTTGTGTAAAATATAACAAGGAGCTATTAATGTCACTCATAGATTAACTGTCAATATCAATTCTGCACTTTAAAGCACCACCTTTTTTGACAAGATCCAAATTATAGATATTCTTTGTGTCACATAAAGACCACCTACAAACAGCATTCAACAACACAAAAATCATCTGATTATTAACAGTAGACCGCTGTATAGACTAAAGTTAATTGATTCAGAGAAAACAGTACTGTCCTCCATGGGGTCGACACTGCAAGTACTAACATAGTATTATGCCAGATTATTGCTGTACTAAGGCTCTTCATCCTCCGAATCAGATGTGTCATTAATTGGTATAAAGTGCTGCAATGTAAAAAAAAAAGATGTTTAGAAACAATAATAAACAATGTATCAAATTATCTATTGATTAACGTAGCCTTGTCTCTCAAGAAATGAATAGCCATGTTCATTCCTGTGAGTTGCATACGATAACATCCGTTTGAAATTGTGAACAGAGCACCCCCATTTGACTCATTTACCTTATCGTCGCCTTGATTCAGAAGAACTGATACAGGGTTGGTGGTCTCACGTTCAGATACGGGTTGGATTTCATGTACCACACTGGTCAACCGAGACGTATACAACGAACATTCCTCATCCAATAAACTATCGATATGTAGGTCCCATGACACAGGTGGCAATATGAGATCAGATTGGATTGATCGAGATCTGGTTGATACGGTAACAGAACTGTCTATAGGAGCAACAATTGATACTGGTCGAGATGAAGACGACTGTGATTCCGCAGATGCCTGTTTCGTTTCGATACTGCATGATTTCATGGACTTGGTAACGCGAATAACGTCAGACGAACGACTCATTGGTTCTTTGGAAGCACTTTCTTTGTCTGAAGGCATTGGTCGGACTGCTGCCTCTTTTGATTCGCAACTGTGGTCTTGAGCTTCGATTGAGGTCAGGTTGCTGGCATGAGATTCTGAAACAAATGAGGTTGCTGCTAATACTGCATGTGTGTCTGTTGAAGATGCCTGTGTACATTGTTTGCTTGATGATAGTTCAGTTCTTGGACGCTTAGCATCAGAATCCTCTTCATCGCGGGAATCTCTACGACTTGAGGTCTTGGTCTTCTTTTCCATATTATATGAGTCAAAATCGCTAATTCTAAGAGTCACATTTTTAAAGTCGTTCAAATCACAACATGGGACTCTACGGTCGTTATCAGAAATAAGCAAAGAATCGTTCACAAAACATTGATCTTGGGCATTTCGTGTAATCCAGTCATTATGTTTAAATTTGTCAGAGTCTAAATTGGAAGTGAAAAAATGTACCATTTGTCCGGGACAGATCTGTTCACACTGATCCAATATATTATTATTATTCTGTTCTTGAACAATATCTCTAAATGCAAGGTTCTTCATTTCCAAATTATCCAGTTTTGTTTCAGATTTCTGAAGGCACAACAATGACTTTTCACAATGCGTCGGTGAATTTTCACAATAAGACAGGGAATTTCCTAAATGGAAAGCTGAATTTTCACACAGGCGTAATGGATTTTCTGACAAATACACTGAATTTTCTGTTCGAGATTCTTTAAAATTTTGTGTACACTGTGTCAGGTTTCGATTCGGAGACTTTCTATAACATACGTTCCCGTTTCGATCTTTGCTTTCACTCAATTGAAGTGAGTCTGTAAGAGCCATTTCAGTAGTGTTCAGTCACATGTTTATATATAGCTAGGTAATTACTGTTCCAGTCGGTTTACCTGAAATATACAATAGATCAATCAGGATTAAAAGGACCTGTGTAAACTGGGCTTGGGTGAAGTCAGCTTAACACTAGAGTAAAACAGATCACATGCAGATATCATTCCAAAATTCACCTAATAGCTTGCTTGTTGTTCGAACATAATATTGTTTCTAAATTGAAAGGCACGACTCTCAGTTCATTTTTAATTCTGTCTGCGTTTATATAACCCACCAAATCTTAATCTGTATACACTAGAATCGTCGTTACCAGCAATTTAATACTTTCAACAGCAAATTTAAGACCCGAAACTGAGAGACAATCTGAATAAATACATCGATTGAAATCACCCATCGTTGGAAAATATGGAGGTATAACGTTGCCAAATTGTCGATTTTGTCTCAGCTTTAAAATATCAATGTCGTCATTACAAAATGCATTTGCAAAGTACAATAATTGTCGATTGTTAAAATGCAAAATGTATAAGTTTCTCCAAAATCCAATGAAATGCCACAAGAATGCAAATGAAATTTTACACTTTGCATTATCAAGCCTTGTATAATAGGCTTTACATAACCGACCATACATGTATACCTTATATGGAATGATGACGTATTCATTTGCATACGTAAAAAGACGGCAGAAATGTTCGGAAAATGCTCACTTTCACGGCTCACACACAGGACAACTTTATTTGAAAACATTTTTTATAATCGTACTTGTTAAATTTTAGTTTATCTTAAATTTCAGAGTAACTTCCATTATCAGCAATCTTGACCGTCAGGGAGAATTTATTGCTCACATACATTTATAAATTTCCGTTCATTTCCGCCGGAAAATGAATACGTCATCATTCCATATATGGTATATAATGTTCGATTATGTAGCTGCGACACAATCGAAAATTTTTGAAACGTTATACCTCCATAGGCAAAGTCCATGAACTCTTAAAAAGTACAAGTTATAAATTTTCGGCACTGAAGTGTCAAAGAATGAATTACATTATAATATATCCTGCACTATTCAAGTATAGTCTTATTCCACAAATTTAATCTATTATAGATGGGTTACGTGAAGCAATCAGACCCTCTCCCAACCTACTCACACCCCCTTCATAAGCAATAAGGCTTGGCTTGTGACTCGTGGTTAATAACAAATAATTCTTCGTTTTCACAGCATATATCCATGTATTTTCCATGCACAGATCAAGAAGAAATTTTTTGAATCTCAATGTAAACCAAACAGGTCTCGAGGTGATGAATTTTTCGAATTATTATTCTCGTTCTTCAGTCATTTAATATAATGTTTATAATGTTAAATTAATAATATATTTTCTCGCCCAACTTGTGACCGCCATGATATTTCCATGGACCCGTTGGAAGGGCGGTATGAGATGTTCATTTCTTGTAGTCGACAAGTATACCACATTATCATTTTTCTAATTTTCTAATTTTAACCTCAACTGCCAGAAAAACTCTGCAGACATCCTAATTTTTGACACTTTAAATGTATAACTCCATAATTCATATATCTTAAGTTAAAATTTGTTTTTAAAGGATAATGCCTTTCAAACTATATATAAATTAAGTAAATAACATAAGAACACCAAGATTTAATCTCCTACATGTTTCAGTTAATATCTTCAGAGAGACATTACATAGTAACAATTTATATATTTATATAGACAGTAAGACTATAACCGATTGTTATTTCCACAATTATAAGTCTTTTCAAATTGAAAGCAAAAATTTGTCTTAAAAATTTTGAGTTAGCTACGATGGTTAAAATGTTTTAGGACGATACCTCTTCAGTGGGATATTCAACGAAAGCATCCCTTTAAGTATCAGGAAAGTTTGAAGACAGACACTGAACTAAATTAAACTAATTTTTATCAGGTTGGTAATTTTTAAAACAACCATTGGTGCCAATATATTTAAAAAACGAAAATTAACTGAAGGCATAAATTAGAATTTTGACTTGGATTGTCTGGAAGAAAAAAATGTCTGGCACCAAATTGAATCTTACAAGACAAATTGTATATTAGTGTTATTATAACAGTTATTATTCTTTTTCATAATTTTTACTTTAAAGAGACATGTTCCTCAATATATTAATGTTTAAGCCACCGTCTCAGAAAGGACTTTTCATCGTCTTAAGGTTTTCTGTAATCACCTTTAGCCCGTGCCTTCTGTTGAATAGTTGCTTGTCAATAGTAACTGGTTTCTTTTCAACCACTCTAATCTCTAATCACCGAGGTGGCGACACACTGTCAATTCTGAACGTCGATTTATAATCTACTACACATAAACCATGATTTATATTAATGCTGAGTCGAATGTGCCAATCGTACCGAAAAAAGACGAAATGATTATCGTTGCCATCTATATGATTGAACAACATCAGTTCTTTAACTGAACTTGTCGGTAAACGCGGAAAAGGTCGGTAAAAGACGGTAATGGCTGGAGTCGTTGGTAAAACCGATTGGTAAGCGTGAAAACCTTGTGTCGGATATGATGTTAAAGGTAAACTGTTCGTTTACATTAATTGTCGGTAAAAATGTTTCAGTTGTACCAAGCAACAAGTCGACAAGTTGTGTGCAACATTTCCCCAATGACCTGAAATACCCCGATGCTTTGTTGGCAGATATCGAAATGATGGGAAATGACACCGTAAAGAGTAGTGCAAAGAATTTGCAAGATGCTGCAAAGTGTCTCTTCGGAAGCAACGTTTTCAGCCAAGACTTGCTAAAGCTTACCAATTAGCATTAAGTATTCCAGTGTCCAAGCTATGAACGTCTTGATGTGGAAATAATTATATAAACAGTAAAACATAATAAAGAATTAAGCTATAACGATGGATTTCGTATGTAAGTATAAAAAAATCCCTGACCGTATACCTTTCTGTTACACTGTCTCTGACAAAACGTGAATACTATAACCTATAAACCGCATCAATGTTAGATAATCAATGATGACAAATGACAAATTCCGCAAGCAGAAGAGAAAAGCTGACACGTAACCAAACCACAACTGTATTTAAAACATATTATCCGTTTGTAGATCATAGTATAATGATGTTCCATTCTTGGAACCCTGAAGAACAGTTAACTAGAGCATGTCGGGGTAGGCAAATTCTTTTGCATAAAGCGACGCATGTCACACTAACCTTAATACACTTGTACTTAATTATTAACATGACTTATTATAGTAAATAGGTTAGAGTGACCAGGCGTTAGTCTTTCATCCTACTCATGACGTCACTTCCGCCAACTTTAACATTGCAATTAAAACGTAGGAATGTCTGTAATAAGTAGTTGATCTAACTGTTGGGTCACAAACATAATTCGATAGAAATGATAAAAAGTATCGATACAGTTGAATGAAAATTAAATTTTGTTTTACGTCTTACGTTTCTGGGTTAATAAAAAGACACCATGTTAACGAAAGACAGATTTTTTTTACATGGATATCAACTCTGCTCTTTGTGGATCCTGTCTACCAGGCTGAACTTGGCTTAACCTTTTTCCATTGATTTTTAAATATCTGCACCTGATATATTGGACCCGGTTATTACTAAGGTTACGTCGTTAATCGTGGCAAGTTGGTCAGGGAAGTGGTGATTAGCTTGTAGAAATTTAAGATCAGAAATATTTGCTCTACCCGCCCCACCCCCCACCCCCCCCCCCCCTCCCCCCTTCCTTTCCCTTCCCATTGCCGTTAAAAACATCCTGTTATAATCGCACTATACAGAAAGGTGATAGCTGATACGCTATATCTTGATTTGCCGGCCGAGTCAAATAGTTGAGCCCCTCTTGAAATATTTCAGCCCCTCCCCTCCTTGGGACTTTTGGCTAGCTACGGTCATGACTGGGGTGTACACAGGAACTGTTTCACACAATAACCGATGACAGCCAGAACTACATAATTACTAATCTATCAGGGCCTAAAGAAACGAAATGAGATTTTGATAGTTCAGACTGTAAGATAATATTATATAGATCAAGACGTTAGATGATAAGAGATTACACGTACATTACCTGTTAATTGTCAGATATTCCACCGTGTTCTAACACCTGGTTTAATAACATCTAGTTCATTTGAGTAGCGTGAGAAACTTCAATTTCTTTAATTCTCTCGCAATTACAGCAAAATTTTGAACGAGGAAACAGGCTTGTCAGAATTTATAATAAAATTTTAATTTCAAATTTTCAGGCAGTTTAAGGAAAATTTCTGATTATATGTAAACTTTAATGACTGTTCACATACCACCCTATAAACCTTTTTTTCGGCTTTCTGGTGTACCCTTTAGAAGCCTGGCTTCTTATATCATCTTATTGTTTTACTTTGATACCCTTTACACCCTACTTGTATTCGAATTCCTATTAGATATTTTATTATTTAAGATCCGTATTTCTTTGGTAATTTCGTTTTTTACGTAAATATCAGTTCAAATAAGTAAAGATTGCTTACCCTGCATCTAGATTTTGATAGTTACAAAAATTAACATAGCGTCCTTGGCATTAGTTAGAATTTTCCGAATAAAGTATATTGCTGTATTCAAGAGTTAAAAGTGCGATGTCTGGATGTATAGACTATTATTATTTGGCGATGCTACGTACAGAGAAATAAAATCATTAATCAAAACTCCAACGGTACAAATTATTTGATTTAATAATGCCAATATAGGCAAAGAAAAGATGGTCTGTGCTATTCATCGTCCACAAACAGAAAATGATTTAAATCCAGAAAAATTGCATTTCTTCATTGAGACCGATACGGCATCTTTTTGACCAATCATACATTAGTCTCAGAAACTGGAATAATAATGTAATAATGTAATAATGTTCACAGTTCACTGTTAAAATTTGAGACTTCAAATTCATGTTTGTCTAGAATTATATGCGTTTGAAAGTTATAAGTTGTCTTTTCTTGAGACATTGTCATACATAGAAAAGAGA